ATGCATTGATCCTTTTGTTTTAAATTCTTACTAATCATAACTCCCAGATCAAAGTTACTGTTTAATAAGGATGATTGCGGTATTGGCGCCAGTCCTCTACGTAAACGTGTGTGCAAAGGTCGCTCGCTCTTGCTGCGTAGTTTTTTTTTTCCTAGCATAATTACCTGGGGCCAGATTCACGAAGCAGTTACGCAAGTACTTACGAACGTGTACATCTTTCTTTTAATCATTGACGGCTTTGGTTACATTTATTAAACGGTTTACAAGCAGGAAAACTTCCCAATCAACTGTTATTGTTATAAACAGCCTCCTGGTGCTTCGGAGCTCAATAACTGTTTAAATAATTGTAAACAAAGCCGCCAAAGATTGAGGAGAGATGTACAGGTTCGTAAGTACTTGCGTAAATGCCCCTTCGTGAATCTGGCCCCTGGTCTCTCGGTAGGGGAAGGATAAAGATACGGCACGTGTGTATGTGAATAGACTTATGATTGACAGGACATTGGTGTACTGGGTATAAACTCTTTCTTATCACTTTTTATTTGAAAGCGTAAAAATCACGTGGAGTTGCGCGCGTTGGCTGCTTGTTGGGAAACCAAACATGCGCTGTAATTTGGATTACGGCCAATAATTTAAGCCCTTATTGGGGGCGAGCCAATTACTCTCGTTTTCTGGCTGTTTAGAGGCCCTAGAAATGCATAGTGATGCTTTAAAGCTACACGAGAGTGGGCTGGAGTAGGTCCTGGTACATTTCTAGTGTCAACTTTGAGGTGGTGAGAGAACTTGAACTTTTCCAGATTTCTAGTAAGATTTTGTGACTTTCACAGCCAGGCCTCTAAACAAAGACACAAAGTGCATTCCATGCACCCGCCAAACCCCATGTTTATGAATGGAAAACGGTTTACACAAGACTTGCAACCGATGACGTCTGAACACTTCCGGAACAACACTTGTTTTTCCCTACATTGTAATACTTGTCTCAAGTGAGACATCATATTTTCATTAAAAAAGTAAACAGAACTGCCTGCTACAGCTTGATTTGGGTGACATTTTTCAGCAAAACTTTGCAATTCTTCTCATACTGCACACATTTTCTTAATAAACGAGGAAGACGCATCCTCTACTCTACATAAACAACCCTCATGCCATTTTCATGTTTACGAATGATCCCTTGCTTTTCCTCTATGGTCATTCTCGCATGTTTTCTTGGCTTGAACTTTACCACTGGCTTTCTTCTGACCTATGGCAAGATGTATAATAAAATTTATGTTCAAGTAGTAAAAAATCCCAAAAACTAATTCTTTACAAAGAATTCATGCGCGATAGTCACTAGGCGGGAGGCACTGGTAAACTAAGGCACAATAGCCGCGCCACCACATGCTAGGTCAGCCCATAACAAGGGGGGATATTAACAAGGGTATTAAAAGTTTCAACACAAGACAGAACACGAAACAATGGGTATAAATTGGATAAGTTTAGATTTAGGAAAGACTTGGGTAAATACTGGTTCGGTGACAGGGTTGTTGATTTGTGGAACCAATTACCTCGTAACGTGGTGGTGGTGGGGTCCCTCGATTGTTTCAAACGTGGGTTGGGCATGCATATGAGTGGGATTGGGTGGATATAAATAGGAGCTGCCTCGTATGGGCCAATAGGCCTTCCGCAATTACCTTGTTTTTATGTTCATACTCGTATCAACAAACTAGTTTCCAGAGGCAAAGTCTGTAACCCAATTAGAATTTTCAAAAGAAATTGGGCTTGTAACCCAAAAAGTTTGTAAATAGGGGCATTTGTAAGCCGAGGTGTCACTGTAATTGTAATCTGCAATTACAGTCTCAGCAGTACATATGTCCAACAGTAAAAACACGAAATGCAAATGAGGAACCCATGGTTTAATCAGGGATGTAAGATGGCAAAGCAACTAAGTAAAAGGGCAAGGAGAAACTACAGAAATAAGATACCAGAGTAGAAAGATACCAGAGGCAGGAATGAGTACCTTAGGGTGAGAAGAGGCAGAAAGACGGTACAAAAATGACATAGCAGATGAAGGAAAAATCTAACCCAAACTGCTGCACAGCTTCATCAAAAGAAAAACAGTGAAGGAACAGGTAATGAAACTGAGGATGGGGGGCAGAGGTTCATTACAAATGACAAGGTGTGTGAGGAACCAAAAATATCAGGTTTTTACAATAGAACAAGAAGTTCTTAAAATATGAGTATCTAACCAGGTACCACCGAGGCATTTGAGATTGCCAGTAGGGAGATAAGGAAGCATTTGCTTAAATTGTTTGCATCAAAGGCTGTATGCCCAGACAAAATCTCACCATGGATACTAAAAGGAGCAGAAGCATTGTGCCTACCAGTCTCAATGGTGTAAACTAGTCATTGGTAACAGGAGAACTGCCAAAAATGTAGAAGATTGATAATGTAGTCCTACTATACAAGAAGGGAGATAGGCCAGGAGGCACTGAACTACAGGTCAGTGTCCCTGACTTGCATATTATGCAAGGTGATGTAGATTGTGAGAAACTAGTACTGTAGAACATCTGAAGAGAGAACTTTGTAACACTATCAGCATGGATTAAGGTATGGCAAATCTTACTTTACAGAATAGAATTCTATGACCATGTGACAAAAATTAAGAGAAGGGTGGGCAGACTACAAATTTCCTGATTTCCAGAAAGCCATCGACACCGTACCCCATAGGAAACTAGTGCATAAATTTGAAATCCGGGAAGGATTATCCGGGCTTCAGGATACAGCTTTGCACAAGCACCATATGCAAGGCTGACCAACATCAGAACTGCCTTTAGAAATTTGTGAGGAATCGTCTAGATACTTGTATACCACACGTCAGACCATTCCTAGAACAGATGGCTCCAGCATGAAGTTCATACCGTGTGAAGCACAAGACGAAGCTGGAGAAGATTCAAAAGATATGCCACTAGACTACAGTACTTCTATAAATAAAAGCCTTTCCTTGTAATTCATACCTGTGTGAATTGCACCTTATTATTTATTTATTTATTATTTAACATGACTGGTACCCGCACAATAAGACAGGAGTGGAAACAGAGAAACTCAAATGAGCCAGAGATATTAGAAAGAATTATTTCAGCATCAGAGTAGTTAATAAATGAAATGCAATAAGTGATGTGGTTACCTTGGTGGAGGCTGATTCCATACAGTTTCAAGTGTAGGTATGATAAGAGCCCAATAGGCTCGGGAACCTGTACACTAGTTTTGACAGTAGAGAGGTGGGACCAAAGAGCCGATGCTCATCCCCCACAAGTAGAATTAGATGAGTACATGCAACTCTTGACAAAGAAGCTTGTAAATTCAACTAAAGTTATTGAAATCTGTGTTACTGTACTGTAAATTGTGTACATTTCCTGTTAAGTTTCACAGTACTTGTAATGGTAAAGCTGGTGACCTTGGTGAGTGGCATGGCAGGTATGTGTGGGGTTGAGTTGTCTGGAGTGTACAAGCTTCCATTAGATGAGACAATATGGAGAATGCCTGGTGAGTTAATGCAGTATATTGTTAGGTATTTACTAGCATGTAGTGCTAATATACAGTATTGTTGTAATGTATAAACAAAAAGATAATGCTTTTATATTGTTGCCACTATTAAATTTCCAAGATTTGTTTGAGGAATCCTGTATGTTCAACAGAATATTAAAGGAAATAAAGTACAGACTATAATATTATAGGTTAAATGAATATCGATTTTCTTAATACTATATATTCAACCCGTCCTTCTAATAGAGCGTTTTGGCGCATACTCTACCTAAGGGCAAAAATCATCTTGCTAGAAAATGGTAGTGGCTCGCAAAATTGACACTCGTTTTCTGTTTTGGGTCCTCTGGTAGGTTAGGAGAGGGCAGTTTAGTACAACTAGCTGACCAACTCCTGGGTACCTATTTACTGCTAGGTGGACAGGGGCATTAGGCAATAGGAAACAGCAACCATTTCTGTCCTGCCCGGGATTTGAACCTGGAATCCTCAATAGTCTAGAAGGAACCTGACTGTACTGTACTACCGGGACACTCCCAGTAAGGTTCAATATTAAAAGAGAGATAAAGTATAGTATTTGTTTAAAATTGTGATAATTTTGTGTTAGAATTTTGAGCCAAGCTACACAAAAAGATAAAAGTTATTGATGTAGCATCATTAATTTAGATACAACTAGGTTAAAGTCAAATTCAAACTAGCTGTAATACTGTGGTGGTATATTTAATGAAGTGATTAAACTGTGTTGAGGTAACAGATGTAGTTCAGAAGACCTACTCGTTTCATCCACACTTACTGGCCACATTTGGGCAAACTATTACAGTATAATATGTCACAAACTCCAGTGACATTATTAGAATAAAGAAATTTGCAGAGGGCCTATCGCTCATGGAAGTATTGCACCAATTCATTTTGTATATTGCCTATGCTTGAAACTTTAAAATGGAATTTGCTTTTATAATTGTACTTGGTAAATTGTTCTATATTTTTTAATTGGTTTAGATTAATAAAAACCTAAGTTTAAATCCATTGCTTTGTTTATATTTTTAAAACCATATTTGTGTGTAGAATATTTAATTATACACTTCAATCAAGTAGCCTTTTCATGCTATCCAAGAAACTAAATTTTTTCAATTCGTAATGAAGATTTCTTGACCCTTGGCATTTCGGTTCTCCTAACCCTGGGTTGTCATTATGAGAGTTCATTAAAAAAAAAAGTTAAAATATGGAAAGAATTTGTATTATAAATACTGTACATACAGTATACTTTTTTCCCTTGGATATAAGTATCGGTTCCTGAAACTTGGTTGCCCCTTTAGCCCTGCCTTGATGGCTTATATTTTCTTAATTCTGCACCATATAATTGAAAAGGCTGTATTACAGTGTTTAAGAGACTAGCTTTTGTTGAAGACATAATGTAAACTATAATTTAAGTACTGTACTAGCATGTGCTGCAAAACTGCTTTTTCATTAACTTTTATTGGTTACAGTTGGCAAGATTAAAGTTGCCCTTCAGCTTTCGAAGGATGAATGGGAGGAAGAATTCCACATGGAGAAACCTGACCAAGAAGATCGTAACCTGGTATTTTATGCTCGTGGTCCAAATGCATCCAGTGCTGCAGTAGAAATTGCTCACCGTCTTGGTTTCAAAAGGTAACATTATTTTACTGCAGCCCTTAAGTATTGATATTGCTGATATTGTTACTACTGAAAGAATTCTTGTAGGTCTTTTTGAAGTTTGTGTAATTGTTGTATTTTTCAAAATGCAAAACAAAAACCTAATTGTATGCACTTAGTTATAAATGATTATTTAGCACTTAACACTGTTGAGGTGTTTTTTTTATAAAAAAAGGAACCACCTCGCTGTTGGGGGGGGGGGGGTACCCAGATGTTCATTCATTAAAATTTTAATGAACCATAATTTGTGAGCAGAGCCATTGACCATTATATTGGTTTCTCAAGACTTTAATTTTTTTATAGAACATTAATTTTTTATGTTCTATCAAAATGTCTGGAAATAGTTTCTAGTTGGTGGGGAGGGAATGGGGGGGAGGTTTTGTTGAAAATATTCAGTGTTGATGCATAACATAAAAATGTTGCCATTGAATGAATGTTAAAGATCACAATATAATTTGACTAACTTCAAAATAGGTAATGCCTACAGTTTTAATGTATCCTTAAATATGCATATTGGTGCTTTGCCATTTTGTTGGCTTTTGGGTGTAATGGTGCATATTTGGAAATTACAGCCATAATTGTTATAGGTACTGTCATTTTGGCATGACAGATTGACACACGTACATTCTTGAAAAGAATTTAACGGGTGTGTATCTTAATAGGTCGCGCCATTATATTGGAGGATGGGAGGATTACTGCAAGCAAACAGGCCGGCCACTCAAGAAGCCACAGAATGGCTTTGCATCGTGTGACAACTACTACACTAGGAATTTTGATCAGTACTACTTGTAAGGAGAGTGAGTGAAGGTGGTCTTTGACAATTTTGTTTCACAGAACTGTATCAGGGAAATTTATTTTTTTATACTTCATTAATGATAGTGATATGTCCAATATTGTAAACTGATCAGTTTTATGACAAAAGGAGCTAACATTTATTTGAATACTAATGCTCCAACATCAATGGCAAGTGTTGATGTTGAACAGTCAAAACCACAATGCTCGATAAAGTTGTAAGTAGTGGAAATTATTATTGATCTGCATAAGTCAAGAGCCCATAAAGACTAAACACTGTCTGTGTGGGGGAGCTGCCATCTTTTTCCAATACAAGAGCACAATGCCTGAGAGTTGTCTTTTCATTTAATGCCAAAAAAAAATATTTATGCTGCATAGACATTTTTGTTAACTAGGTCCAAAGTTTTATAGTGGATAAAATAGCAGTATAATTCATATATTTGCCACTTTGGTTACTTTTGTTGTCAAAATTTTCTGTGGACTGCTGTGGATTTATATAATGGAGTTAATGCTATTTTTACTTGTTATAAAATATTCATGGTTAAGCTGCCTGATTTGCATGAGAAAGTATTGGCCAAATTAGCAGTTGTATCTAATAATCAACTTTTACATTATAACAAGATATATTTTAAGCAGTAAATATTACACAATAATCGAAATGCACCTGTCATAGAAAACTGTGACAAGTTCAGTTTGCTGATAATGGTGGCTAGATATTTTTTTTTTTTTTTTACTATATGCAGTATAAATAATTTTGTTGGCAATATGATGGTTTTACTTAAATGTCCAGTGTAGCAGGAGGTTAACAATGTTAAAATGAGCAAGAATTAAGTGGATGTTTGCATAGTTCACCTATAGTTTCCTATACATAACAATGAATAAAACATAACACAAAGAAAATTAGAGCAATATTTAAATTTGTCTGTCTTGCCTACAAAATTGAAGAATTTATAAACTTTAAAAAACATTTACTATATTGTAATGCAAGAAAACATGGTGCTGAATCTGATTGATTACTCCAGGACCTCGAGAACCACATTTCACTTGGTATTTGTTTTGAGCGTTATGTGGGCTTTGATGCTTCATGGATGAGAAGAGCTGGTATAAGAGTTTGGTTTAGTAAAGGGTAACCATACTTTCGTACTTGAAGTATGGAATGAGGATTGTACAGGTGGTTTTTTCTTGTTGCTTAAAATTGGCCTAATGTCTAATAAAGAATAATACTGTAGTTATTGTAAGTACAGAGTATGAGCAAATTGTTGACTTAAGTCTTGGTGATCAGAAAATTGTGTAAGTTAATAAATTTATTCAAATTTGTAATAATTTAACCATTAACAACACTGAGTAAACACAGGATTAAAAAAAAATTGTTTTATTTAGTAGCACAAAAAAAGTATACAATGTAACCAATATTTTTTTTCAGGCACGTAATAAACTTACAGGTTGGAAAAATAGGTAACAAACATGAAAATTATATATACTGTACAGGAACAAATCTTCACTTGCATTATGCAAGCTCATGTATAAAATTCTAGAAAAAGTATATTCTATGACATTTACAAAGGAATTGCGGCATAGAACAATTGCCAATAAACAGTGAAATAAGTTTATATGATAAAAGAGAAACACGTACACATTATATATAGAGAAATAAAATGAAATGGGAGGCTTATGCTATGGGGTATATGAAAGGCTAAGAGGCGGTAACCGTGCAGAGGCAGAGCGATCTCCTCCAAGGGGTACTCGAGGCCTGACTCTGCTCACCAAGACACTACCACAATCATCCTGCTGTAAGAAAGTTAAAATGTTATACTTGGGCTATTAATAAAATGCAGTAATCAAATGATACTGTACATACAATATTTTAACTATTCTGCCAAGTGTGCCACATAAATTGACACCATCAATTTGGTGGCATCCTCTGCCTGCCATCCTCTCTGCCAGCCAGCCAGCCTGCCTGCCTTTCTCTCCCTCCCTCACTACTTCCCTCCCTTCCTGCCTACCTCTCCCTTTCTCACTAATTCTCCCCCTCTCTCTCATACTGCCTCCCACCTAAGCTTTCCCATCCACCCACCAGTCAGCCATTACTGACGCAATGCGTGCATTTCGAGCCGACATGGTGTACAAATGTTTCTTGATTGTGAAGATATGTAAAACAAAATCACAGAATGAACACTCCTGCCTTGTGACAAATCAAAATACAGGGGTACCTCGGTTTAAGAATTTAATCCATTCCTGGAGACTGTTCGTAACTCGAAAATTCGTAAACTGAAGTGAATTTCCCCATAAGAAATAATGGGAAATGAATTAATCTGTTCCTGACTCCCCAAAAACTTCAAAGTAAATTTTATACCTAATTCACCCAAATCTTCACTACAAAAGTATATTTCAAGTTATTACTTACCCTTGCTGATGACTCCTGTTGGCATATGGAAGATAGTGAGGAAGGGGGTGGAGGAGAGGTGTTACTGTTTGGAAGGGGAGTCCCCTTTCATTATAACATCAGGCAGTGAAGATTTCTCTGGAGTGCACTCTCTGGCACGTTTTTCCTGTATACCACTAGGTCCTGGTTGTGGCTCACTGCTTGATTTTCTCACTTTTCTCACAAGGAAACATTCCATTGAAGATTGTTTTTCCCTTCTTTGCAACACTTGTCTGTAGTGAGGCATCACATTGTCATTGAAAAAATTAATGCAACGGCCTACTACAGCTTTCTCTTGGTGATTCTTTTCAGCAAAACTTTGCAGTCCTTTCCATACTGCACACATTTTCTTAATTAATGACGAAGGGTCATTCTATACTGCTTCCTCTTCCTCCCCTGAAGATTTGTTGTACTGCCTAGCTAGTTCAACAACACGAGTACCATTTTCATCTTTACGAATAATCTCTTTTTTTTTTTTTTTTCTTCCATGGTCATTCTCACAGTGATTTCTTGCCTTGAACCTTACCACTGGCTTTCTTGGGACCCATAGTGTGGGAGACGGTGTCAGTGGTGTGGGGGGGATGGTGTCAGTGGTGTGGGGGACGGTGTCACGGGTGGGGTGGATGATGATTCCCCCATCTCAGATTATTATCGACACCAAAAGGGCATGAGAGATATTATAATGAAGCAGTGCACAACGAAGAAACAAACTATAGTTCAAAAGTTTTTGGTACGGTTTCACAGTAGGCCTACAGAAGCAGCACCCAGCACTAGCAAGGACTCCCTTTGTGAGTCAGGTGCAATGTTTCCTAATGCAAATGTGTCCTGGCATATGTATTTATTATTTTTTTTTTTAAGAAAGTTGTTGGGGCCGGACGAATGAACGAATTCCGCACTGGAACAAATCGGCTTTGCCCCATATAGTTTGTTCAAGTGAGGACACACTGTATGCATATATTATGTGATACCTCTCGTTTCCTTTTTAGAAAGCACATCTTAAGTGCTTCAAGAGTGTTCCAATAATTTTGCTGCTTTACCATGTCTCTGCATGTTGTATATGTTCTCAGAATTCCTTCTATATCTCCTTTGAAAAGGGAAGTATATCGGGCTAAAGATCATTTTGCTGGAGTCCCAGGATTTTAAGGTTTCCATAATCCAGCTTATTTTCCTGGTTGATGCTGTCTTGTCAGACAACCTAATTTAATGAGTACTTGTATATCATTATTCCCAGATCCATTACATGTCATTTTCCTTCTATGGGAAGATATTTAAGTCTTGTATCCTGTATTTATAATTTAAGCACTGTATTTATAATTTAAGGACTATTTATAATTTATAACGGCTAAAAATATTAATTTTGTTGCCCAGTCGAAGACTTTATTGATAACAGCTTGCAGTTTCTTCAATGTCTTCTACAGAGGTAATTTTCATACTGATTTTTGGAGAAAATCCCCAGGTGAAGCATAAAATAAAAAAGTAAAAAATAACCAGTTTGTAATGAAAGGTTGCCAGGCTCTTGTACCTGGGAACACAAGAGATGACACCACCCACAAAATACTTACCGTGTTTTGTTCAGTGTGTTGTCTTCTATTGGCTATCTCCCTTAACATAGTCTTGCCACTTTCTCGAGTCTGTGTGCAAAGGAAAGTCTCAGTGATCATTTCTCTACTCCTAATTTTGTTAACTTCCATTTTATATTAAAATATTCTGTATAATTAAAATATACTATAACTGCTTAAAATCAAATAGAAGTATTGTATACTGTACTGTGGTTAGACTACTTTCTATATTATCATATGGTCAGAAAGCCTTTAATTGCACTCTCCATCTTTTAAATTTCCAAAATTTCTTTTTTCCAACCCTTGTTGGCAATAAACACTTGCAGTGGGTTTACCAAACAATTACAAATATTTGTACTGTACATAATGTACTGTAATTACAAAATAGCATGATGGAAAAAAATTGAAGAATCTTAATAATGGTAGACACGTCTTCTTTAATTTAAGGTGTAGGAATTCTATCAAATGGGTTAGGTGAGCAACATTTTTACGACAAATTCATTTTTAATTATCTAGATTGGAAATTATGTTCAGGGAGAAAAATGGGAATGTATAGCATGTGATATTTATCAAATGTCCTACAAGCAGCAGGCTTTTCAGTGTAAAAATTTCTTTACATAAAAATACTTTTTGCCTACCTGCTCATATAGAAACACGCGTGCACACAAACACACAGCATCATATGACAGAGTACTGCACTAAGAAGACAGGACACTCTGGGTATAGCTCTCACCCTGTAGTTACACCTAGACATTACACGCACACACACACACCGAGTGCAGAGAGAATGTGCAACCGAGCTGAGCATCCCCCTCCAATTGATATTTCAGGGATCTTTGTCCACAGGAATTTTAGCAGATACTGTATTTGGAAAAAGGCAAACATAGTTCCAATCTACAAAAATTGCAACCAAGATGACTTTAAATTATAGACCCGCATCACTAACAAGCGCGGTAGTCAAAATACTAGAAAAAATACTTAAAACCAAATGGGTTGAACACCTGGAGAGTAATGATATAACAGACAAATAATGTGGGTTTTGAAAAGGAAGATCCTGTCTAACAAATCTACTTAGTTTTTATAATAGAGCCACAGAGATCTCACAAAAGAGCCACAGAGTGTCACAAAAAAGGCTGTTCTGGAAACTGGAACATGCTGGAGGAGTGACAGGGAGACTTCTGACATGGATGAAAAATTTTCTAACTGACAGACAGATGAGGGCAGTAATCAGAACAATGCATCTGACTTGAGGAGTGTTACTATCAGAGTTCCACAGGGTTCAGTTCTTGCACCAGTAATTTTCATCATCTACATAAACGATCTACCAGAAGGAATACAGAACTATATGAACATGTTTGCGGATGATGCCAAGATACTGGGGAAGATAGGAGACAGACAAGGAGTCACAATAACATGGCTGAAATATGTTGACCAAACCACACACTAGAAATTGAAGGGACGACAACATTTTGGTCCATCCTGGACCATTCTCAAGTCGATTGTGGATGGAATACAATGTGAATAAATCACATGTTATGGAATGTGGAATCGGATGCCTGGAATATCACATCACAGTCGACTTGAGAATGGTCCAGGGCGGACTGAAACGTCGTCGTCCCTTCTTTTTCTAGTGCGTGGTTTGGTCAACATTCATAGGAGACAGACGAATGGCTTGCCCTTCAAATGGATCTAAATAAAATAAGTTCTTGGAGTGACAAGTGGCAGATGGAATACAATGTGAATAAATCACGTTATGGAATGTGGAATCGGAGAAAATAGACCACACGCAACTTATAATATGTGGAAAGGAACTAAAAAAAAACTAATAAAGAACGAGATCTAGGGGTGGTTTTGGATAGTAAACTGTCACCAGAGGAAGATATAAAAAGTATTGTGAGAGGAGCGTATGCGACTCTTTCCAACTTCAGACTTGCTTTTAACTACATGGATGGTAAAAGACTAAAGAAACTGTTCATAACTTTTGTGAGACCACAATTGGAATATGCAGCAGTTGTATGGTGCTCATATCTCAAGAACCACAATAATAAACTGGAAAAGATGCAAAGGCATGTTATAAAATGGCTTCCAGAACTGAAAAACAAGAGTTACGAGAAAAAACTAGAAGCATTAATTCGCGAGAGAATGCTCTAGAGGAATATATATATAAAATGTCACCAAAGACAACATGAGAACCACACCGAATAACAAACTGTGGCGGTCGTTAGCTGTGAGCGTAAAACCGGGCATCAATGTTTACGATGTTTTTATGTTTGCGAACCCCAGAATTATTATTCGTGGTTTATTTTGGTATCATTGTGACCGCAATAAAATTCCCTACACGGACATATAAATATACACAATAAATAATGGTGTCGCCCCACCCACAGGAATGTGGGAAGTTGGCTTAGGGTTACCCGCCGGAGCGCGCCCAGCTGCACATGCGCTCAACCACAACTGAAAAGTTTATACTCTCCTCATGTCTGTGACCCTCATTTTCGATGTACGTGTTTTTTTTTGGTATCACTGTGTAGCTAATGAAATGTACTATAAGAACATATGTATAACATTTCACCAAAGCTAACATTAGGCGACCAGCAACCAAAGAACTGCGTGCTTTGTTTCGCGCTCACGCTAAACTCCGCTAAACTCTCCCTATATGTTGCTACTCTGATTGTGTTTATCAAGTCAAAACTTGTTGCATATGGTTTTGTTTGGTATCACGGTGATCGCAATAAAATTGCCTACACAGACATATGCATAAAAGTGGGTTACACGTGCGCGCCTCACCCCCAAACACCCCCAAACACGTCGATGCCTCACCCGCCCAAACACCCGTTTCCACGCCCGGTACACCCAATACACCCGACAAACAAAAATATTGTTCCAATGGAAGTTTTTGTGCTACATTGTTCATTTTGGTGTCAAAATACTCGCAAGAAGATGCACTATGTAGACATACCAATCTGAGCACTAAGAACTGGAATATATATAGAGCTACCCACAGCAAAGTATGAAGAAGTAATAACCTCAAAATGTGTAATATAAATTATGTGTACTTACCCACGATGTGATGAAGGAAGGTCAACAAGTTGAGCATTTGATTATCCACTCCACCGGCTTCAGGAAAATGTCCCTGAAGTTGCTCAACAGATGTTACGTTAGGTGGAGTGGAAGCTTGCAGAGGAGTTATTTCTTTGCTTTCCAAAATATCCTCTTGCGGTGATATTTTGAGTAGCATGGTGTGGCACATAGAGCAACTCCACATGTCCTGCACTGATACATACAGTCTTTTCTAATTCCCGACTTGATACAAACTCGGCACCGTTTCCGTTTAGCAATTTTCACTAATGCATGAGTCAACTTCCTGTTTAGCCTGTCCTCTGAATCAACAATGCGGGGGTTTTTCACAGGTGGAGGAGTAGCTTCAGCTTGAGGTGCAGGCGTTTCAGTTTCAGGTTCAGTGTCTGATGAGGATGAGGCATGTGGTTGGCGTGGAAGACGATGAAATAAAGGACGCCTCGCTCCAGATGGGCCAGGTGTTGCCAAATCATGAGAAGGATCCTGGTAATCATCAGCATGTGGGAGAGGGCTTTCAGTAGCAGGCCACTCATCCATGTCCCACCCCAACAGGGCCCATATTGCTACTTCATGAAACTGGAGTAGGGTCAGTTTCTTGGCATCAGTTGTGTACATCTTGTACAACACATAGGCATTGTGTAAAGCCATCTGAAGGAAGTAAAATGTGATCTTCTTAGTCCACTTATGCGACTTCCTGGTGAACCTGTAATATTTGACCATTTGGTCGAAGTGATCAACTCCCTTCATGTTGTTGTTGTAGTCGCAAATGGCTGTTGGTTTGTTTACAGTTACAATCTGAACAGATGATGTTCCGTCACGTTTCTTCACTCTCTTCCTTCTCTGTACTTCCTGTGTGTCAGCATTATGGCAGTTTGTGATCACTGACACCACTCTCTTGTCTTTCCAAAGGATAACAAAAGTGTTATCCTTGCGCCTGAAAATAGTCTGATCAACAGCGAATTTACCTTTGGCAAGTTTTTGCAGCTCTTTAGGGGCACCACGCTGCAATCTGAGTGTTCCACAAGTGTACACCCCATTTTCCCTTAGCAATTCTGTGAGATGGACAGAGTTATAATAATTGTCCATATAAAGATGATAACCTTTGTTCAACAAGGGTCGCATAAGGCCCATCACTGTCTCAACTGTTGTCTTGCCCACTCCAGAATAAACCTCGAAATCAATAATATAACCAGTCCCTGCCTCAGCAAGCATGTACAACTTTACCCCATACTTATCAGGCTTATTGGGGTTGTAAACCTTGAAGGATAGACGACCACGCCACGACATTGTACCTTCATCCAAACTGAGTGCTTGATTGGGGACGTAGTAAGAGCCAAATTTGTTGGTCAAATAGGTAATGATGGTGCTGAGTTTTATCATGCGGTTCTTGTTGTTGGGTGGAATTGCAAACTGGTTATAAGTATGAAAAAACTGGGCAATATGTTGGAATCGTTTTGCAGTCATGAACACATTGAAGGTCCTCATATGCCACAACCGGCTTGTTTGCCAGTACATGCGCATTGTTGGGAGTCGTGCAATACCCATCAAGATTGATAAAGCCAAATACCTTGCCATTTCCTTCGCAGATACCTCCTTCCACAACCTCATAGTGCGCCTGGAAGCATTCTGAATAAACTGCCTGGCATACCTGTTAGTTTCCACTGTGATGAACTCAATTAGGGCACGGGTCAGAAATAATTGAATAAATTGCAGGGGGGTAATTGGCACTGGGACAGTTATGCCTGGTGTGGCACTGAAACTGCCTACAATAGGTGGTGTATTGTCAGTTGACCAGGCAGCATCGGGATTAGGCTGTTGAAGACGTCCTGCACGCCTCCTTACAGGTGCCTTGGGGCGGCCCACATCCGCTGACTCATCCTCAATCCCCTCGCTACTCTCCTCACTCGATGATGAATCAAACTCATCAGACGACGCTGTCCCCTCATTATCACTACTGAAATCACTCTGACGCTCTTCCCCTTCAGCATCTGCCTCCACATCTGACAAACGATCCAACAAATCAGGAATTTTACTAGGGGTAAGCTTCACATTGATACTGTATGCCAAAGCTAGAAAATAGGAGAAAAAGAGGTGATATGATCACCACTTACAAAGTGGTGATCACAGGAATCAACTAAACTGACAAAGATGAATTCCTGAAACCAGCAACTTCAAGAACATTAGGCCACAGTTTCAAGCAAAGGAAACAAAGATGCAGAAAGAAATATATATTTTTTAAACAGTGGTAGACGGTAGGAACAAGTTAAGTGAGGAGATGGTGGAAGCCAAAAGTGTCAGTAGTTTCAAAGCGTTATATGACAGAATACTGTACTGGGAAAACGGGACACCACAAGCGTAGCTCTCATCCTGTAACTACACTTAGGTAATTACATATTGTAAAACTAATACAATACATTCTGATAAAGTGTTGCTTTTTATGTATTAAAAGCATACTTACTTCCATGAAGAGAGTACATTTCTGAGCATAATCATAAGCCAAATCAAGCATATTTTTCTGAAGGCAGTGACTCGCTAGAAACTGATACGCTTGTCCCCGGTCCTCACTTAGGCCAGCATCTTCAGTTTCTTGCAGATATCGCTCATAAAGAACTGCAGCACGTTCGCCTTCTCCTAAACGACTGTATAACCTGCAAAGCAGAAATTCTACCTCTATACGCCCAGTACTCTTTTTAACCATTATAAAAATGGAAGCTCCATGCAAAATGTTTCACAAACTCAAGTCAACAAGATCATTCAGTGCAAATGCTTATACTGCGGCAAGGGAGGAATGATTGTTCAATACTCATTTCAAAAGTGCTGGGCAAAACAAAAAATACACTAGTAATTTTACCAACCTGATAGATGAATTGTCTAGAATAAAAGAATTGTACTGAATTTGACTTTTCAATAGCAAATACTGTACCATGCTGCAAGAGTGAAGTAATTGTTCATAAATAAACACTACGGTATTTGTAGTAACATAGTATAACACACAAATTACATTAAATGCCCAAATAAAATTTAAATATACAAGAAGAAAGGAAAGCTAACCAACAAATAAATAATGTGACAAGCTGTGAAGGGTTTAAAAACAACTTTTTACTTAACAACAACTCTGCCAATGCTATTCTGTCAAATTATTCCTATTATATTGGAAATAATCCTTAACTGGGTACTGTTCTAAACTGCACCTTCACTGCTCTCTGTAATACCCATACTATCATAGCATGCACACAAATTCTTATGAAAATTCTGTCATTAGAAAAGAAAGAGGCAGTCCTTCAATCCCTCATGTTTCACCTTCGGTCTCAACTGATATCTGCCATAAATTCACAAGCTCTATTCATTTTAACTAATGATGGTTATTTCAAGTCTTGCCATTTTATTTCACCCTTAGTTGTTTTTCTGACTTTTACTTTTTCTCGTAAGCCATATTATTTATTTATTTATATAATATAATATAATATAATATAATTATATATATATATATATATATATAAATATATATATATGTCGTACCTAGTAGCCAGAACGCACTTCTCAGCCTACTATGCAAGGCCCGATTTGCCTAATAAGCCAAGTTTTCATGAATTGTTTTTCGACTACCTAACCTAACTTTTTCGGCTACCTAACCTAACCTAACCTATAAAGATAGGTTAGGTTAGGTTAGGTAGGGTTGGTTAGGTTCGGTCATATATCTACGTTAATTTTAACTCCAATAAAAAAAAAATTGACCTCATACATAATGAAATGGGTAGCTTTATCATTTCATAAGAAAAAAATTAGAGAAAATATATTAATTCAGGAAAACTTGGCTTATTAGGCAAATAGGGCCTTGCATAGCAGGCCGAGAAGTGCATTCTGGCTACTAGGTACGACATATACATACATACATACATACCTACATACCTACATACATACATACATACATACATACATATATATATATATATAACATATATACCTGGCTATGGCTCACTGGTCGTTTGTCTCACTAAGAATTTGTCTAAAGATATTTGCTTTTGCCCGTTTTAACAATTGTCTGCCATGAGACATGACATTGTCATTAAAAATGTTAACACAAAGGCTTGTTACAGCTTTATCTGGGCGAGCCTCTTCAGCAAAACTTTGCAGTTCTTTCCATATTGCACACATTTTCCTAATCAGGTCAACCACCTACATACAATCTTCATGTTAACAAATGTTTTCTTCTATCGACATCCTCACAACTACAGTATTTTCTTGGGTCAAACTTTACCAATGACTTTCTTGGGACCCATGGCATGATATATAATAAGAACTTTTATGTTAAGCAACAAAATAGCACAAAAACGATTAAATTTTTCACAGAATTTAAGTATGGTTATCACTAGGCAGGACACAAGTGTAAACTGACCGTACTGACTCGGACAAGTATGAACGAGTGTCATACTCTGGAGCGAACGTCGTCCACTGGGGCATATTTTCCGACAAAATTTTTGTTGTACATCGAAAAATTCATATTCAGATGCAACTGTACACCGAGGTTCCACTGTATAATAAATTTGATCAAGTTTTGATATAGGTATCATCATCAATAACTAATTCTACTCTCAATTTGGTGTTTTTCTACAGACAGAATAAGTAGAACCAGGATATGCAGGGCATAGAAAAGGGGTGAAATGAGCAAAAGAGTTACAATAATTGCCGGGTATTGTAATGAACAGAAGCTTGTTATAGAGTATAGGGAATATACTGAGACAAGTATATAGCAGCTTAGGGTGCTGTAATGGGATTGCAGGAGATTGCAAGCTTTCAGTGTTGTGGTGGTGGTATAATAGGTTTGTGATGGTGTGGTGGTGGTGGTGGTGTTCTGGGGCCAGATTCACGAAGCAGTTACGCAAGTACTTACGAACGTGTACATCTTTCCTCAAACTTTGATACCTTTGGTTACATATATTAACTGCGCCAACCATGTATTCTTGGTCAGCAAGAAACTGCGCCAACCAAGAAAACTCTCTTTGATTTTTCCGTACCCATTCTAAATGTGTGCGAGGTTGGTTGTGTACGAAATGAACTCTTAGGACCTCCAGTGAGAGGCAGTCATCTTTGAAAAATTCCCAGAATGCCCTAGGGCTGCTGGCATTGACTCCAGCTCCATTGACTAATGCCCCGGTCTAATGTATCACATATTTGTCCGATAGCTCCAGGAAGCCTCCAGGGCTTCCCACAGAAAATCTAAAACTAAATTTCCTTTTTAGACTTACTGTACTATGTACATGTATATATGTACTATACTATGCCTAGGATTGCTAGGAGAGGTTAGGTTCTATTTATGTTGCTGTTAAAATGTTTCCCATGTGGCCAAATTCAATAAAAGAAAAGTAAACTTTTTGGTGGACCATAACTACACATTTCTACATTTGTTTAAATAGTTACTATAAGTACTATCATTTAACTAAGTTGAATGTACTGTACAATATTTACAAGAAAATGAGTAATCATAAGCAACAATCACACTGGCAGAACATTGGTCACAGGCTAATTTGTATTATTCCTCAGGATGCAATTTCAATTAGCAAAGAGAGAAATCTTGAAAGCTAAGCCTTAAATACAAAAAGCAAAACAAAACTGCAACAGACTTTTCAAAGTAAATTGTATGGTAATTGTTAAACAAAACTTGGAGGGAAAAAGGGGTTCTTACTTGGCCAGTCTAAGTAATGCAATGCCCTCTATGTCACCAACACTGTGGGCTTTGAGGAAACATTTTTTGGCTTCTTCCCACTTCTCTAACTTTTCGTAACTTTCCCCGAGTGCCACCAGCATCCGAGAGTCATTTGGTCTTAGCTTCTGAGCCTGGGGTGGTAAATAGTTTTGTAATACTTAATATTTAACCCAAAAATTACATTGTAACAAATTTAAATGCAATGAGCAAAAAACCAGCGTTGAATGTAATGAAATGCCATTTTCTGGGTGTGACCCGGAGGCTCCCCGAAGCTATACATGCTAATATGCCAATATCAGACTTTGGCATCAGTCATGTGTATGGAGTTCTGTGGGCCTACCAGGGACCACGAGCCAGAACTTAGCCCCTTCAGAGAGGCAAGGAGAGCAATGGCCTATAGAAACCCTCGTGTGGCTGGAAGTATTGTATGTCTGCCATCGATCGGGCACCCAGAAAGATAAACATCCCAAAACAAACCCCTATTCTGGTTAAAACTGCTACCTAACACCGAACTAGTGGATAGAACTCCCCAAAAAGATACGAGCAAACTAGCACAACGTCACATGTCACTGCACCGCTGTCTGCGCAGCTCCCCCCTCCCCGGGAACGGAACCCAAAGGAACCCGGAATCGAACCAGGGGAAGGCCAAACCACCACATTTTGCCGGCGGAGAAACACCACATTTTGCCGGCAGAGAAACACCACAGAAAGGAAAAGCACAGCCCCCAGAGAGAACCCCCTGGGAAAAGTCATAACAGACCAAAAACCGAGGGACAAGGTGTGGGAGCAAGCATAACAGCCAGGGGACACTGAGCCCAAGCCCAAAGGCCCAAAACAAACCCAAAACAGACAAAATGGAAAACCAGGTGTAAAATCAACACTAAAACGTTCCCAGAGGAACAGGCAATGGGCAGAAAACACCAGAAAAGCAAAGAAACGACAACAGGAGAATAAAACCCCCCGAAAAAAGGTGAAAACTCACCCAAGAAGCTCGCTCGCACACCCAGTCGCATGTAAACAAACCGCAACGCCGCCCTGGCCACGCTGGGAAACCGGCAGACGAAAATGGCCGCCAGAACAGTGGCTAAGATTGACGCTAAAAAACATACTGGAAAAACCGCTGGGATTTGACTGACGCTGATTTCATTTGATGACTGACGCTGAGATACAAAAACACGCCAGCAAAAGTGGGAAGCAAGCAGACTGGATGGGCGAAAAATGCCGCCCGAAAGCAGAAAACCCAGGCAGGGGCAAACCGCACCAGAACTGCTAGCAGGCATCCCCCACAGCCCCGGGAACCAGCTACAGAGGCCCCGGGGCAGAGCCGTCCTCCAAGCCCTCCGCCCTTAAAGAAAAGCAAGAGTCCATGGGAAAGGCAGCAAGAAAGGGCCGCTGGTAAGACCCAGAAGCCTTGGCAGGAGGAACCGGCCACCGAAAACCGCCCGAGTCTCGGCCCCAACCAAACCCCGACCCCGAAACGCGCAGACGGTCCGGAGCAAAGAACAGAGAGGGAAAGGGGCGAACAGCACCTAACCAAAATGGGGCGGCCTCGGGGCATCCGAGTGGGAAACCAACCTAGCATGTTGCAGCAACCTAACCTAGCTAGCAACACGGATGCTGCCTGTACTCTGAACAGTAATAACATCAGGAGAGTACTGGAGAACAAGCAGAGAAAATCTCTTGCAAGACTCCGGGTCAAGGTGTCAGTGACCCAACAGGCAGCATGACGGAGGTAAAAGTGGCGACTGTCACCCGGAGACAAGGGCACAGCAACCAACGATCCCGTACAAGACGGGTTGGAACCCAGAAGACACATTCAATGGTCCCCCGAGCCCAGACAGGGGTTTCCAGGGCCCGTAGGCTGACTGCTACGGGAAGCCCGGGCAAGGTGTTGCTAAACCGGTAGGGGATAGCACTGAAAACCCCTGAGACGTGTACAATCACAGGGGCCTAGCAGAGGGCCGCCAAACACTTCCAGTGGAACTATAGCCACACAGGGCAGACCCCCACCAGGCAATTGAAAATAAAAACAAAAGAAAAACCCCGCAAAAGTACACCGTCTCCAGAGGCAACAGGAACCGGTCGCCGCTTAGGTGGCCGGCTGTGCAACACCTTGACGCCCTAACCAGCACAATACCAATCCCTACCCAGGGGCAAACAAGGGCCCCAAGCCCCAGCTGGCCCCTAGGGTGAGGCAAATGCCGAGCAGCAAGAACCTCTACGGGAATGGTTCCCGAATGCCCCAGGGAAGATAACCCTGTTACGCAAGGGCAGTACTCACAGGACGCTTAGGGAAGTCAGCCACTAAGCGCATGCAGCCCCGGCACTGATGAGGTACTCCTGGCCACCGCACAACACAACACACGGCAGTGAACGCCACACAAGGCAAACACTGCCTAGGAAACTTAGGCCAGAGAAGCATCTATCCCGGTTGACATTAGCTTACGAACTGAAGCTTGGCAGCCGGCGCAGTAGGTCCGGGGCTCCCCCCTCCCCCTCTCAGGGCGGGGAGGGCTGTGTGGACAATCAGCGCGGCAGTAAAGTGTGATGTTTGCTTGTTTGCTCGTTTCCTTGGGATTGTAGGGAGTTTCTACCTCTCTGTTCAGTTTTTTGTTTTAGTTTTTTACCATGTGGGGTTTGTTTTGTCATGCCTACCTTTCTGGGTGCCTGACCCCGGTCGATGGCAGATAAGGAAAACCCCAACCACAAGAGGGTCTTCCAGGGCCATTGCTCCCTGAAACCTCTCTGAAGGGGCCAGGTTCTGGCGCTGGTCCCTGGTAGGTCTGAACTCCTTAGCTAATGTCCCGGTCTAATATAACATACATTAGCCCGATAAGCTTCTGGGAGCCGTAGGGGCTCCCCACAGAAATGCTCAAGTACTGTACCTTAGAAACAAAGTATTTCACATAAATAAACAAAAGATTAAAATTGCAAGCATTATTATTATCTATGTGAAGGATTATTATAAGTAGCAAATTTTGTTGATGCCAATCAATGCTACCATTTCCCATTTTAATATAGAAGGGAGAGATCTGTCTGGAAAATATAGGGGTTTTCATTGAATCAGCCACGTCCTTGCCCAAAATACTTGAATCGCAACTTCCTTTAGACAAATTTATCTTTCATTAATAAAAAACCCATATATTTAAATGACCAATCCATTAAGTCACACTAATATCTCTCACTTATTATATCCTTTCTTCTTCACCTTAATGACTTCCCATAGGCAAATCATTCTCAATAACTCTTCTCAATTAATTTAATTAACACTTTCGCCCACGAATGACGCAGCATTGCGTTGTTTATTTACGAGACGGAATTTCACGAATGACACAGCCTTGCGTTGTTTCCGGCGGCAAATTGGCGGCGGCTTCAGGAGAGGCGAGCTACAGTTTTGGACATTATATGCATATACATCTCATAGGGAATTTCATTGCAAACACAATAACACCAAAATGAATGACCTAGGGCCAGAATTGAGGTAACAAAGTTGAAAGAGTATACCATTTATTGCTCTTTATTAGCGCTCACTGGGGTAATGCTCCATCACTGTCTCTGTTTGCTGTGGGTGGTACGCCGGTCTTTTGGGCTTCATATGCATTTAGTTCTGTAGAGAATTCTATTGTGAACACATTGATATCAATTTGAAAAGCCTAGGACGAGAATTGAGATGACAAAATAAAAAAAAAGAGTATACACTTTTTAGTATTACCACGGTCTCTAATGTAAAGAGAGGAGCCTTGGTGGTGGTGCCCTGTGGCACAGTGCTCTATTTCTGGTAACCTTGGCCCACTTTCATCTTATCAGCGGGGCATTATATGCATATATTCCTGTAGAGAATTTCATTGCGAACACAATGATACGAAAATGAAAGACCTAGGACCAGAATTGAGGTCACCAAAGTAAAAAGAATGTACACATTTTTTCGCTCTTGCACGATCCCGGGTAACTCGCTCTCACTTTCTCTGTTTGCTGCGAGTGGTAAGCCGGGCTTTTGGAGTTTATATGCATTTACGCCTCTAGAGAATTCTATTGCGAGCACATTGATACCAAATTGAAAAACCTATGACGAGAATTGAGGTGACAAAGTTGAAAAGATTATACACTTCTCAGTATTACCGCGCTCTCTAATGGAAGGCCCGGAGCTCTCTTCTGGGTAACCACGGCCTGCATTCATCATGTCAGCAGGTGGAGCACGCTACGGTTTTTAAAATTATATGCTTATACCCCTGTTGGAAATTCTATTACGAACATATTGATACTGAAATGAAAGACCTAGGACCAAAGTGAAAAGAGGGTACACATTTTATTGCTCTTGTGTGCTCCCGGGTAACTCGTTCTCACTTTCTCTGCTGCGGGTGGTAAGCCGAGCTTTTGGAGTTTATATGCATTTACGCCTCTAGAGAATTCTATTGCGAGCACATTGATATCAAATTGAAAAACCTATGACGAGAATTGAGGTGACAAAGTTGAGAAGAGTACACACATTTCAGAATTACCGCGCGCTCCCGTGAAATGCTAAACGCCACCTGGGGTAGTGTGGTGCTCGCGGGCCCAAAGCAACAAAGTGTTAAGTCAAATGCTTACTCAAAGCTTCGAGCTTCCTTCCATGGATAAATCAACCAGTGTGATAAATATTTATTTTATTGTATGTACATACTCTTTACTAGGATATATGGTACATAAAGTAACAAAATTACAGTACAGTACTAAGATTTACCACTAGGAAATTATGATTTGCAGTAGTGAAAAAGAGGAAAACAAAAATATTATTTTATGGTTTGCTGTCTCACCTGTTTGAAGTAATATAAACAATAAGCTGGAAGTTTTAATATCTCGTAGGTCTGGCCAAGTCCATACCATGCACGGTAGTCCCGTCTGTTCACCTCTGATAATCAAGAAATATACATTAAATAATGCCTAATATAACTAAGCAAGCTAGTCTCAAGACTGGAGCATAACAAAACTTTGAAGTTGTAGTTCAATATAAAAATAAATACAGTAATCAAACATTACAATGTTATAACCAATGAGCATTTGCAAAGACTGCCAAGAGCTGGATTGTAAGAACTATACAGGGCTTAAAAGAAATAGTAGTACTGTACTCTATTTTTGTTTCTGATTGCCCAATTGCCTGTACTTGTACTTCACTAACCCTAAATATCTTTCCTGCTACTGCATCCAAGGATAGATAAAGTGGGCAAATAAAAAAAATGAAAGATAAAAGGCAGAAATACCTTTAATAATATTAAGCAAAACACACTGTGGTATAAAGTTCTTCCACGCATTTTACATACCAATAGCCTGACGATAACATTGGATAGCAGCATTAGTATTCTTCATTTCCATGTATTCATGACCCATCAATGTCCAAGCTGCCAAGTAGTGTGGATTAAGCCTAAGTGCTCGCTGAAAATACTGTACTGCCTTCTCATGTTGGGATCTTAAGCTATAGTAGTTACCTGGAAAATATAAATATCTAGCTTTTATCCTAAGGAATTTCCATAGGCATGAAGAAAATTAATGCTGATGGAATGGCACTGTAAATACCAAATGAACAACTTATTATACAAACAAGATACTTTACTGAAGTTGATCAAGGAAGCTATACCTGGTTCCTGTACCAGGCATTGCTTACAATATAAAATAATAGTATGAGGTGTGAGGGCATATGGTGGGTAGACATATGCAAAGCAGTTGTTGAGTCTGAAAAGATATGTATACTCCTGGAGGCAGCCGTAGTCATCTATGTAGGTCAGAACCCAAAGACCTAGCAGACGCAGACGGGCCACCACGACCCTGGTTAAACACGTGAAAATGTGGTGAGCCAGATTAATAATCAATTTCGAAGAAATTCCTAATATTAAAACTGGTCTTTAGCAAATCTATTGGAAGAGTTTGTACCTTAAAATCAAAATATAACTTGGCATATACCACATATGTACTTATTAATCAGCCAAATAGTGACTATAAGCAATAAGTCATATATGTACTGTGTTGTGCGAGAGCGGGTTGCACCCTGAGACAAGGACACACAGCAACCATTAAACCCGCACAAGGCAGGCTGAAACTTGACAGATGCTTCCATGGGTTCACTGAGCCCCGACAGGGGTTTCCAGGGCCCGTAGGGTAACATTTACGAGAAGCCCGGACAAGGTGTTGCTAACCGGTTAAAAACCCAAACAAACAAGGGGTAGATGATAAAACTGAAACCCCTGTTACATGTACAAGTATGGGGGGCCTAGCAGAGGGCCACCAAAACAGTATCAAGGGGAACTATAGTCCCACTAGGCAGACCCCAAAGAGATAGTTACCTAATTATTTCAATGTCTCTGATTTTTCTTTGTTTTTTTGCTGTAATATCATTCAATAGTGTGTAGTGTGATATATTTATATAATAAAATGTGTGAATCATTGCTGTACTCAAAATTATGGTGTGCATATTATTGATTCAATTATTATGTTCATCAAACAGTGAACAAATACTTCGTCGATTATTACACAGGTTACATACAAGTATCTGCATGTTTTGTTCACCATAACGAACCACTAAGTTGGTATTATGAGTCAAAAAGCAATGACGAGTGACCGCCACACACCAGCCAGCCACTCGCTGCCACTCACTCCCTCAACACCTCATTCGCCCACATTCTCCTCCCACCATACTGTTTTTGCTTTTATTCACTATATACAGACATTATATATAAGTATCTACATGTTTTGTTCACCACAACTTTACAACTAAGCTGATATAGTTAGTTCAGGCACTAAGAGGCGTCGCTACACACAGTCAGGTGGCGGCTGCTTCCCTCACACATTCAAGGTCAGATGCGCTAAAATTTCTCCCCAACAATACTGTTTGTGGTGTTATTACCCTATACACACACATTATATACAAGTATCTACATGTTTTGTTCACCATAACTGTTCAACTAAGCCAGTATAGTGCCCAAAGAGCGTAGTGGCCACCCCTACCAACATGACAAATCATGCAGATGTCGATGTCGCCATCTCCCTCACCAATATGGCTTCTCCCCCACACTCCTTTTGCTGTTATTACACTATATATACACGTTATATATACGTATCTACATTTGTGTTCACCATAACGAACCACTAAGTTGGTATGCTGAGTGGCAGTGGTAGCCAGTGGCGGCCATCATTCACACTCTCCCTCACCTCACCTGACTCGCCACCATTTTCCTCCCATACTGTTCTTGATTTTATTCACTATATACAGACGTTATATATAAGTACTATCTGCATGTTTTGTTCACCATAACGAACAACTAAGCTGGTATAGTGAGTCCAGACAGTAAAAGGTGGTCACACAGAGTCAGCAGACAATACTACCTCCCTCCCCACCAAGATTACTCCTCCCACTACAGCGCTAGTTATCACAACAATCCTGCCAATATCAGAATCCCGATCATTTTTATCACAGTCAGGGGTCTTCTGTAATACTATCATTGCTAAACAATAGCATGTACATATATATATATTATGGCATTTTTAGGCGATGCTGTGGTCACAAGCTGAACAGCAGTGCTGCGAGCTCATGCTGCATACGTCAGACTTGGTTTCTCACTCAGTACTGAAGACCTCACACCCGGGAATGTGAACCACATTTTTTTTTTAAATAGCATCTGTTTACAAGAGCCCTGATGAAGGTAAGGTGAACCCTGTGTATCTGCGGGCCGTTTAAATCTTACTTAGTACTCCAACACGCCACATGACGTGATGCGCAATTTATAGCAAGTTACTCAACACATCATATGCCATGTTGTGCAATTAAATGGTTAACTTGTACAATATTTTATATCTATAGTTTCAATAAACTTGGTATCAATAAGACAAGACCAAAGTATTTAAAAGCTACTCACCAATAACGCAACAAGTCTCTACCCGATACTTGTCAACTTGCACAACACGGTGTGCAAGATGTGAGAGTTCCACACGCATTTCTTTCACGTACAGCAAGTTGGAATAAGTATCCAGGTTGTCCAGACGAAATGGGTCTATGGCTTCAAGTTCCTTGAATATTGTCACAGCTTGATCCACATCTTTTAAAAAGTATAATTTTCATTATAAATTGCAGCTGAAATTCAGTTATCATTAATTTCCATTGTAGCATTCCCTGCACAATTATTATAATGATAATTATTGTAAACTGAAATACAGAATACTTTGAAAGCATACTTTAGGTGAATTAGTTAATTTTGTGAAACAGTGTTTTAGTATTATAGAGCAACTTTGTATTCATAAGGTAAGTCAATTTTTTTTTATACAAATCACGAGGCTAATTCTGAAGTGAAATACTAGGCTAACATGAAGTATCCTAAACTAATAAAAGAGAGACTTAGAAATTGTTTGTGTAATGTTCAAACAGACACTGCTCATCCCATAACCTAGCAATGAAATTTTGTTTTACCTTAGACCACATTACTATATACTCTATCAGCATATTTGTATTGAGACAGTTTGAAGAGAAGGAATACAAGAATTTTTTTTGAAGTGTACTGTATATGGCTTTTTGTCATTTACTTTTTGTAAATCCATAAAGTTATTTGAAAAGGATTAGCAAATACAGTCTTAGTAAAGTTCTGTTACATGCTGTAAAGCAATTTTAAGTAGGAAGAAGTTCTGTACATAAATACTTAAAAGCTAATAGTGTATCTAATATGTGGTATTAATGAAGGTACAGTGGTACCTCCACTTACGAATTTAATCCGTTCCTAGAGACGGATCATAACTCAAAAATTCTTAAGTCAAAACAAATTTTCTCATAAGAAATAATGTAAATTGAAAATCCATTCCACACCCCCAAAAATATTAACTCAAAAATACATTTTATACCAAATACCACTCTTTTTGTACTAGCTAAAATACAGTACAGTATGTATATTTTACCTTTATTGAGAACTCTTGTTGGCATATGGAAGATGGTAAGGAGGGGGAAAGAAGGAGAGGTGTTACTGTTTGGAAGGGAAGTCCCCTTCCATTATAACATCATGCAGTGATGAGTTCTCTGGGGTACTCTCTCTCCTACATTTTGCCTGCATACCATTAGGACGTGGTTGTGGCTCACTGCTTGTTTTTCTCACTAAGAACCTTTCCATAGAGCCTTGTTTTTCCGTACGTCTGAACACTTGTCTGTAGTGAGGCATCATAGTGTCATTAAAAAGGTTAAGGCAACGGCCAACTGCAGCTTGATTTGGGCGAGTTGTTTCAGCAAAACTTTGCATTTCTTCCCATACTGCACACCACTTTTTTATTGTTGAGGAAGGAAGATTCTGTACTGCCTCCTCCTCCCTTGAAGAAATTTTCTCAGTCGCCTATACACTGTGGTATAAAGTGTTGTTGCTGCTCCTTGTGAAGGGCTTGGAATTCTTCGGTGGTCAGTTCTTCGCTGTGTTCCTCCTCCAATGCACAACACTCAACTCTCACAACACTGTGAATGCCATTTCTTTTTCTAAATTTCTCTTACTATCCCCTGCTCCCCTTAAACTCTTTCGTATCTGCATCATTCGTTCCGAGGGTCTAATTTATAAGATCTTCATGCATTAACCTTGCTTTTTCACAAATGATGGGCTCTGAAACATTATCACCCACTAACTCCTTGTTGTGTATCCAAATTAAAATTAATATAACTTTTTTAACATCCTTAAGTGTTTGTGTTCTATGTTTCATGATTATTGATACACCTTTTGCCACTTTGGCACTCATAATGTCCTGTTCCTTATCAAGTACGGTGGATATCGTTAACATAGAACTGTTGTACTGCCTAGCTAGATCAACAATCTGCAAACCATTTTCATGTTTATGAAAGATCACTTGTTTTTCTTTGTGGCCATCTCCACATGTGTTTTCTTAGATTGAATCTTACCACTGACTTTCTTGGGACCCATGGCATGATATATAATAATTACTTTTATGTTCAGAAAACAAAAAAGCACAAAAACAATGAAATTCTTTACAAGTGCGATCGTCGCTAAGCTGGTGGCTTGGGTAAATTGAGGCAGAACCCCATGTAGGGACACTGGGGGCAACCGAGTACATACAGGAGCCCCAGAACAAGAAAAGAACTCTGCCAGAGGCAGAGGAAGAAAGAAAGGAAACACAGAAGGCAGAGCTGAGGTGAAGGCCACAAACGGAAAACCGCAGGAAAAACATGAAGAGGCTGGCTCGAAGAGCCACAGCACGACCCTTGCGAACACAACAAGAGAAGCACAGCCAGGAAAGCCCAACCTCACCAAAACAACCAAGAACACTCCAGCAGGGGAGCAGGAATGCAAAACCATGCCCCAACAGAGCAGAGCGAACCGAAACCAGAAATATGTCACTGGGAAGGACCATAGCACAAGACGGAAGCGAAAAAGCGCCCCCTAAAAAATGCGAGCTTACGCACCCAGCTGGCACATGAAAATAAGATGCCATGCTGCCCTGGTGGCTGGCCAGGAAGTTCATTTAATGTCATTAAATGATTGATTAATTTTGGCCCTGGGATGGTGGTTTGTTCGTTTGCAGCTGTCTCCTTTTCTGGAGAAGATCGAGACGGCGAGCTTCCGAAGGGGTCCATGGGTTATTGATGCTTGGTTGGTCAGGCCAGGGGTGCATCATGTTTTGTGTCCAGTCGCAGCTCTCCGCCGTTACCTGTTCGCATCGGCTTCTGTGTCTGAGGACACTCTTTGGGTTGATCTGGTTTCCCACGGTCCCTGTCCCAGGGTTTGGGTCTCTCAGGTCGTCCGCTGGGTTATCAAGTCTAGCCAGCCTGTGGTCTACCCTCGTGTCCATGATGTGTGGAAGTTTGCAGCTCTAGCTGCGGTTTTTGGTAACATGTCCTGAATTGACATTTGGACACGAGGCCTTGTGTGGCTTTGGGGCGTCGGTCGCAGTCAGTTGCGCCGTCATATGGCATGCGGTGCTGCTGTCTCCCCGGGAAATTTCTTTTACTTATCTGTGGGTATATAGCTTCAGGAAGCCGACAGGGTTAACCTCAGAAAACCAGCATTGAATGTAATAAAATGCCATTTTCTGGATTGAGCCCTGGAGGCTCCCGACACCCTCCCTCCCACCGGTCGGCAGTTTGTTATAAGTCTACGAACTGCCAGTGTGAGCACTTGGGCCACCTGGGCGGGGGGCCCCTCCCCCTTCCTGGGGTGTGGGGTGGGTGTCAATAACACATGGCTAGTGGAGTGGACTTTTTCTCTATTGTTGTTTCCTCTTGGGGGGAGTTCTAAGGCTCTGTTCGGTCTTGGGTTGCAATGTTTTACCACTTGGGGTTTGTAATGGCACTCCTACCTTTCTGTGTGATACCCCCGGTCGATGGCAGACATGACTACTCTCTCACAATGCGGAGTGTTCATAAGCCATTGCTCCCTGTGCCTCTCTGAGGGAACCAGATTCTGGCTTGTGGTTCCCAGTAGGCACATAATGCCAATTAACTGATGCTCTAGACAAATATAATGGCTCTCAAGCCGTTAGCTTCAGGGAGCCTACGGGGCTCAACCCAGAAAATAGCGTTTAATTACATTCAACGCTTGTTTTTTTACTGTTTACAAGTCTATTAAGATGTATTCCTCTCTCATTAATTATTGCATATACGGTACTGTACTGCAATGGAGAATGGTGGTGCTTTTTAAAGAGGTAAATAAGCATTTGAGCAGCATGTACTAACTAGGCATCCAAGAACTAAAAAAATAAAAAATAACTGAAGATAAAACCTTCCATTCACCTCTCTGGTTATGGTGTGTGATAGCAACTTGAGCCATGATGTATGTGGAGTGTGCAAGTCCAGCATCTTGCAAACTGGTGTAGATCTCCAAGGCTTCATCATTTAGCTGTAGCTCCAAGTAGGTATGAGCATAAAACAATTTCCTCATCCAATGGTCTGGTAGCTTTAATGTGGCAAGCTATGGAAGTGTAAATAGCAGTTAATACAATGTTGAAATTGTACTCTTTGAGCACACTGATAACAGCTTTATTTATGGGGGTTTCTTACAAGCTAAGGGAACCAAACAGATAAATATATATGTTTAGATTTTCTGAATGTATCACAATTTATGCCATTCTAATTAGAACACTATCATATTAATGAACATGACAAAAAAAAAAAAAGTGTTGAATGTAATGAAATGCCATTTTCTGGGCGAGTCCCGGAGGCTCCCCGGAGCTATCCCAGGCGGATATGCTAATGTCAGACTTTGGCATCAGTCATGTGTATGGAATTCTTAGGCCTACTGAGGACCACGGCCAGAACTGGGCCCCCCTCAGAGAGGCAAGGGGAGCAATGGCCTACATAAACCCCCGTGTTGTTGGAAGCATTCTATGTCTGCCATCGACCGGATAAGGCACCCAGAAAAGTAAGCGCCTCAAAACAAACCCCTATTCTGGTTAAAATTGCTACCAAAAGCGGAACTAGTGGATAGAACTCCCCAACAGAAAACAAGCAAACTAGTGTGATGTCACACGTCGCCGTGCCGCTGTCTGCGCAGCTCCCCGCTCCCCGGGAGGGGGAAGGGGAAGCCCCAGACCCTTCACACCAGCTACCCACACCTCGGTTCTGAGGCTGGATGTCAAAAACACGAAAAAAATGCCGACTGGAGGGAGGGATGCCGGGGAGCCTCCAGGACTCGCCAAGAAAATGGCGTTTCATTACATTCAATGCTGGTTTTCTGGGAGAAGCCCCGTCGGCTCCCCGGAGCTAACTACCCACAGACGGAAAAAGAGGGACTTACCCGGGAGGCGGTCGTCACTCACTCCTCAACTCTAAGTCGAAACAACTGGCTGCAACTGCCGACCCAAAGCAACACAAGCCCGATGGGGCCCAGGTACATTCACAAGGTGACGAGCAGCCAGGAGCCTGTTCGACCGCCAAAAACCCCATGCCCGAATATCAGACCAAGACATATTTCCAAAGACGGCAGCAAGAGCCGCGAACTTACGGACGTCATGGGCACGGGGATAGACCACAGGCTGGCTGGATTTGATAACCCTGCGGACGACCTGGGAGACCCGAACCCGCAAACAGGGAAGAAGGGAAACCGGATCAACCCAAAGCACTTTCCTGGACACTTAAGCCGTGGCGCGCAAATAACGGCGTAGCGCCGCAACCGGACACAAAGCATGATGCACCCCCAGCCATACCAACCAAGCATCAACCACCCACGGACCCCTCCGGAACGCAGCAGTCGCATTCTTCGCCAGAAAAGAAGAAGACGGCTGCAAGCGAACAAAACAATCTCCACGACCAAAAGAGCAGAAACCCCTGCGTCGGAGGAGAGCATGAAACTCCCCGACCTGACCTCCAGAGGCTAATGCCAACAAGAAAAGAGCCTCGGAGAAACAATCCCGGACCGAAGGGGCCACATCGAAATGAGGAGACGAAAGGTAAGCGAGCACTCTGTCCAAAGACCAGGACGGCTCAGGCGGCACATGAACAGGCCGGAGATGAAACCTAGCACGAGACAGTTTGAGAAACGGCACAGATGTAACATCGATGCTGAAGGCAAGCTGAGGCGGCTCCGCCAGCATCGCACGATACAAGGCGACATTGTTTGGCATAAGATGACGACCCTGAAACAACCAAGTGAGAAAGGACAAGACCACCCTAACAGACAACGCACTAACACGATGAAGATACAAAAAGAAACAGAAGGACTGCCAGGAAACTTCATACTGCCACCGAGAAGAAGCCCTCAGGTGGGACACCAACAAGGTGGTCACCTGATCACCATAGAGATGATGATAGACTTGAATAAAAAAAAGCCGTATGCGAAGACTCGAGGAGAAGATCGAACCAGCCACGTAACGTACCAGAAAGCAACGAAAGTGTTAACTTAGATGCCCCACAACAAAACCGAGCCAGTCCCGGAACCTTGGATGAATCAGGACATGCCAATAAGCGTCCCGGAAGTCTAGGGACACCATCCAAGCGCCCAGCTCCAAGAGGAGCCGAACCTGAGACAGCGTAGTCATTCGAAAGGAGGGGCAATGAACCCAGAGGTTCAGACGAGACAAGTCCAGAATGAACCGCAGATCCGCGCAGTCCCGTTCTGGGACCCGAAACAGACGGGAAACCCATCTGAGGGACGACATCGTTTCGACGATGCCCAAGCAAACCCACTCCGAGACGACCTGACAGAACGCAGGGGAAGAAACCTGCCCTGCCAGCCCCAACCCCCCGAAAGGGACAGGGGGGGCCACCCAATGCCACCGCAGGCTGACAGACACAACCCGAAACGCCCACGAATCGTGGGACCAGGCGTGGGCGAACCGCACAAGCCTCCCCCCATCGCTCCATCAATGGGGCAAACCGTGAAAGGGCCGGTGTCCCTTACGAGACCCACAACTCCACACACAGCCTGGAAAAACTGCGCCACGGCCGACTCCTCAAACAGAAGAGGACAAAAAGACGACGACAGCCCAAGAGCCAGAGCCCAAGCAGATTCCACGGAGGAACCCAGCACCGCCTGCCGACATGCGAGATGGGAACCATAAAACAGGGAAACGCCATCCCGCAAAATCTGCGCGAAAAGCTTCAACAAGGCAGCCGACGAACTCGCTGCCGAGGACAAGGCGCTGAACCCCGGGATGAACCCAAGCGTCCTCACATCCTCCATTAGCCAATCAGAGGACAGCTCCAGGCGGGAAAAGAACCACAAGGCCAAAGCCAAAAGGCCCCGGGCGCGCAAGTCCTCCGCCACGAGTGCCGCCGAAAGGGTGGCAACCTGCACATGGAGCTGAACAACGCCCACATCGCTGGGAAGGGCAGGGGCAAACAAGCACTCGTTCAGGTACTCAAGATCGCCCCCCAGGAAAACCAGAATCACTGTGGAAGCTTCCCGCCACTCCAAGGTGCGGGAACAACAGAAGGAATGCCAGGAATCCAGAACAAATAAAGGGCAGTCCGCTAGCCAGGAAGACTCCGGAACCTTGTAACGGAGCCAGAAAGGGAACGAAGTCCCAAACCTGAACTCAGATGGATACATTTCTGAGGAATAATCCAAGTCACGCAGGAGGTACGCTGCAAGGGCCACCTGCACCACACCAGGTTGGATGCGATAAGCCGAAAACCTCCGGAAAGACGGAACCGACGCACCCGAGGAACACAGAACCGAACCCCGGGGGGGGGGGGGGGGGGGTCGACACCAAATCCAACTCGTACAAAAGGGGGGAAAAGAACACCTCACACCTTGTAACAACAAGCCCCGCTCAGAGGGAAGAAAAACCCAGGCGAGGTCCAGTGGGGCCCCAAGGCCCCCCAAGTCAGCCCCTCCCCAGCCTCGAGGTCCTTTACAGCAGGATCTGGGGCCGAGTCCTCTCCCCAGGCACCGACCCCACAAGACAAGGACGGAGCAGCCGTAGAAACCGGAAAAAAGGGGGCCCACTGGTCAGATCCAGACGCTTCGGCTGGGAGACAAGACTCGAATGCTTCTGCCGCCCCCCTGGAAGGGGGCATCCCCCGAAGCTGCCCGAGTCTCGAGATCAAGTAACCCCTGCTCTAACTCCAAAACCCTCAGACGCTTCGGGGCCGGAAGCAGGGAAGGGGGGGGGGGGGGACCAGAACGAACAACAGAAGGGGAAGGACGAGGAGGTGCGGACTGAACCAGGATCAAAGCGACCCCCACCCCTCAGTCCGGGTCTCGAAAAGCAAAGCGGGGCAGACCCGGGGCATCCGGGTGAGCAACCAACCGAGCGTGTTGCAACAGACTAAACCTAGCTTGCAACGCACATGCCACCTGTTCCCGAATAGAATCAGAGGATTGGGTAAATTGAGTCACAAGCAAGCAGCAACACTCAGAGGACTCGGGGTCAAAAGTATCACCGACCCAACAGGCAGCGTGACAGAGGCAAAAACAATGAGGGTCACCCTGAGACAAGGGGACCGAGCAACCCTCAAACTCGCACACAGCGAGCAAGGACTCCGGGGTCACATCCATCGGACCCACGTGCTTCTTAGGGGATTCCCAGGGTCCTGAGTGTTTACTTTAAGAGAACTCGCGCTCAGGTAGTCCCAGGCAGGGTGCAGCTAACTGGCGCCCAAAACTATCAAGCAAACTTCTATAGCTGTACCCCAGGGACGTGTACACTCACGGGGAACTAGCAGGGGGCGCCACTGAGGAGAACCGTGGAAGGGCAAACACCAGTGGAATAATAGGGCAGAACCCCCCACAAAGCAAAAACAAAAAGAAAAACAAAACCCTGCAAGAGGACAGCGAACCCTAAGGAACAGAGCCGGCCGCTATGTCGGGAATACAAAGCTGCGCAGCACACTGCGCCCCTACCAGTGCAAACTGCCTCTTACCTGCAGGTAACAAGGGAGAACAGAACACCCAAGAGCCCAACAGGCGGCGGAAAAACCGAACGGTAGAACGGACCAGCAGAGGCCGGTCCCGAGGAGCCTGTGGAAGGTGGCCCCCAAGCTCCAAGGGCAATACTTACAGGGCACCGAGGGAAGGCAGCCCTAGGCGCATGCAGCCCGAGTACTGATGATAACTCCTGGCTCTCGCACCCACAGAAAACAAACACCACACACGAAGCACAGTGCTGTAGCAACACAGGAGGGGAGGCATCACAAAATATGAAACCCCCAAAAACAAACAACATGCAGGAAGGCATGTTGATGCTCTCCTTGCATCAAAGAGAATAGCATGATTGAGAGGCCAACATATTCTCCAAGGCCACAGTAAACTCATGCACATATGCATGGCCACTTTATTGGAATAAAAAATAATGCAAATTAAAATATGCAGTGGAAAATACAAATAATCATAGTAAATCATAGTATTGGGTATTAAATAGTATTAAATTGTAACATTTCAAATTCTCCCATTTGTATTCAGAACTGAAGAGATTAATCCACAGAAGTTAGTGATGCTTAAATTTTTTAATCACTAAAAATTAATAGAAAATGCCATTAGAAAATACCCTATAACTAAAAGCTTCTGAATTTCTCTGACCATTTCTCTGTCTGTGATGAGAGCTGCCAATTCCAGCCAAGCCCCCCATTGTAAGGGTTGGATGTGCAAAGCCTGACACAGCACTTCCACAGACTGTCTAGTAAGGTCCAAGCGTTTCAGTACTACTCCATACAGCCACAGCAGCCAGGCATCCATGTCAGTTTCACCAACATCTCTGTACAGGAGCACACAATATAAAAATGACTAAATATTTATCTATCAATTGCACATATAACAATTAAGTAAAAAGTGAATGAATCTTTACAATGAAAAATCTTACCAAAATTGAATTGGTGCCTATACTGTACTACAATTCTCTACAAGCAAAGTAAAATAAAAAACCAGAGTTGAAAGTACAGTAATGAAACCCCATTTTCTGGGCGAGACCCCTTCGGCTCCCCATAGGTATCCAGGCTGATATGGATATATTAGACTTTGGCATCAGTCACATGCATGCTGTTTGTAGGCCTACCGGGGACCACGAGCCAGAACCTGGCCCCCTCAGAGAGGCACGAGGAGCAATGGCCTATGGAAAGAAACCCCTGTGTGGTTGGAAACATTCCATGTCTGCCATTGACTGGGTCAAGCACATAGAAAGGTAAGCGCCCCAAAACAAACCCCTATTCTGGTTAAAATATTGCTACTGAAAGCCGAACTAGTGGACAGAACTCCCAAATGGAAACGAGCAAACGAGCATGACGTTACCACATCACCACACCACTGTCTGCGCAATTCCCCCTCCCTGGGAGGGAAAAGGGGGAGCCCCAGACTCTTACACTGGCTATCCACCTTGCAGTTCTGAGGCTGGATGTAAAAAATCGTGAAAAGAAAGACTGTCGACTGGAGAGGGGGAGGGTTGCTGAGGAGCCTTTGGGTCTCACCCAGAAAATAGGGTTACATTACATTAAACGCTGATTTTCTGAGGGGAACCCCTTCAGCTTCCTGGACGTACTTACCCAAAGACAAAAACAAGAGGGACTTACCCGGAAGGCAGTCCGCACTCGCTCCTCAACTCGAAGTCGAGACAACTGACTGCAACCGCCGACTCAACGCGACACAGGCCCGACTAGGCCCAGGAACACTGACAAGGTAGCGAGCGGCCAGGAACCTGTTCAACCTCCAAAAACCCCGCGCCCGAATGTCGCCGCTATGAGAAGTGACAACTAGCTGCATAGTACCCTGCGCCCCAACCAGTGACAAATACTACCCCCTACCCAAAGGCAAACAGGAGTGATAGAAACACCCCAGCTGATTCCAAGGGAGGCCAATCACCAAGCAGCAAATGACCTTACGGAGATAGCGTCTAAGGTGATTTGTGGAAAATGGCCACAAGGGCAGTACTTACTAGGCGCCTAGGGAAGGGAACCCTAGGCACATGCAGCCCGAGTACTTGTGAGATTACTCCTGGCTCACTCACCACCAAAGAACAGCGCCACCCCACAAGGCACAGAGCTGGAGAACAGAAAACAGGAGCCAGAGTCACACGACCGTTGAGGGGGAAGAGGGGGTTGCCCAGACAGTGACATGGTGACGTCATGCTCATTGCTCGTTTTCACTTGGGGAGTTCTGTCCACTAGTTCGGCTTTCAGTAGTAATATTTTAACCAGAATAGGGGGTTTGTTTTGGGGCGCTTACCATTCTGGGTGCCTGGCCCGGTCGATAGCAAACATGGAATGCTTTCAACCACACGTGGGTTTCCATAAACCATTGCTCCTCATGACTCTCCGGTAGGCCTAAGAACTCCATTCACACGAGTGATGCCAAAGTCTAATATATTCATTTCATCCTGGATATCTCTGGGGAGTCGAAGGGGCTCCCCACAGAAAAATATCCATCACAGAACTGGTAACAAAAACAATGCATACAAAATGTATTTTTATTATCTTGCACACTCATTTACCTCCATATTTTAATATGATAATGGTGACCCAAGGTAATAAAGTATATATACTGTATTATATTAAACAAATCCACAAGGGCAGCGATGAGGGTTTGAACGTTCAGGATGATCCCAGACGCACCTTAGTCGATTGCGCCATGACATAGTAAAACAAATCCACCCTCGTGGATTTTTTCACTTGATGTATCACACTACTGTTATTTCTGTATATACTGTACTATATTACCACTGTCAGAATCGATGCACGCGAGAGACCGTCCATGAGGAGATTCAACATGCCCAAAATGAACTACCTGGAGAACCAAATGCAGATAAGCCAAAAGCTGGGTCATCAGTAAAGTCCAATTCCACAGGTGAAGAGGGATGACCTACACACACTGCAACCCTCCAACCCACACAGTTGAAGCAATGGGCCACTGGAGTACATTGCCATCACCCCCCCCCCCACCTCCCCACAGGAGGCTAATTCATCAAGGTACTAGACCAGACATACAGACTCATATATACAAACAGTACAGTATACTGTACTTCTGTCTCTTCTCCCTGAGAAGAGACAGAGAAGGAAAGTCGGTAGCCAGAAAGACAGACCAGAATCGGACTTCATTTGTGCTCGGTGTGGGATGGACTGCCACTCTCGGATTGGCCTCATCAGTCACACCAGACGATGCACGAGGATTGACAACTAGGGCGCAACTCCATAGTCTCCTGAGACTGAAGGATGCCTACTACTACAGTATACTGTACAGTATATGAAAAACATACAATTACCTGGATGTGGAGTTTGATGAGTGAAGAGCATAAATTTTGGACAGCTCCGTGTGCAGCTCCTTCAAGTAAATCCCTTTGTGTTGATCATTGGTAACTGCCAGCAAAGAAAATAATAAAATTCTTCATTTATGTAATTATGTTTGTCCAGTTCAATAGAAGTTTAATGCATAAATTCATACATTATTATTGCCTCATTTGTGTGTGATAAGAGACTTGGACAATTGTCCTACCCTTCAAGATAAACTGGATAAGATAAGTATAAAACAACACTTGCCAAATGGAATTCAAAGTGAAAAACCAGCATTGAATGTAATGCAGTGCCCTTTTGGGGGGGGGGGGTAGCCCCAAAGGCTCCCTGAAACTAACTACTGAACTGATATGTGCTTTATTAGTTTGGGGTCATCAGTCACGTGGAGTTCCAAGCCTGCCGGCGACCGCGAGCCAGAAGCTGGTCCCCTCAGAGGCACAGGGAGCGATGACATATGAGCACTCTTAATGTAAAGTACTGTACTGGTATATCATATTCCGCCATCTACTGAGGCAGGAGCCCAGAAAGCTAGGCGAACCAAAAACAACTAGCTGGTAAAATGGGACCTAAAGCATGAAAGAGTAAAGAAACTCTTTCTCAATGAAAAGAAACATTTAAACTAGCATTCCCGCTTATTAGTGGAACTCCCCCCCTTCCCTTCCCCGACAAGGGGAGGGAGTCGATCCAGGCGCCTCCACAGTCTACCCCTCCAATATGAAGTCAGATGGAAACTGCCGACAGGAGAGAGGGGGGGGGGAAGGTGTCAGGGAGGCTCCGGGGATACCTCCAGAAAATGGCATCTCGTTACATTTAATGCCGGTTTTCTGGGGCAGCCCAATCAGCTCCCTGAAACTAACTACCCACGGAGAAGGAAAAACAGGGACTTACCCGAGAGTCAGCAGCACCACAGGGCTCAAGGCGAAGAAGTGACCGACGCCGCGACAGACATCCCAATGTCACACAAGGCTGCAAAGGCCCCAGAACATTCACGAGATATCTGGTGGCAAGGACCCTGTTCAACCTCCAAAACGGCTGCTCCCAAATGTCGCCCTAAGACATGTTACCAAAAACAGTGGCGAGCACTGCATACTTCCGCACATCTTGGGAACAAGGGTAGATCACAGGCTGGCTGGACTTCATGACACTGCGAACAACCTGAGATACACGAGCCCTGGAATAAGGAATCAGGGAACCAGGGAAACTGGATTCACCCAAAGAGCATCCACCATCACAAAACCAATGTCCCATAGGTAGCGGCATAAAGCCACCACCAACACGTGATACACCCCCGGCCTAACCAACTAAGCATCCACCATTACCGCTTCGGAAGCCCGTCATCTCATTCTTCACCAGAAAAAAAGGAGAAGGTTGTAACTGAACAAAACGACCACCTGGACCAAAGGAACAGAACCCCCGGTGCCGTCTCCAACCCGAGCCCAAGAAGTGAAGGACAACAAAAATAAGGCCTTCCTAAAACAATCACTAACTGGAGGGTTCACCACAAAACAAGGAGACGAAAGAAAAGAAAGAACCAGGTCCAAAGACCAGGAAGACTAGGGCAGCATATGAGCAGGCCGGAGGTGAAAAAAACCAGCGTTGAATGTAATGAAACCCCATTTTCTGGGTGAGACCCGGAGGCTCCCTGGAGCTATCCAGGCTGATATGCTAATATCAAACTTTGGCATCAGTCATGTATATAGAGTTCTTTGGGCCTACCGGGGACCACGGCCAGAACCTGGCCCCTCAGATAGGCCAGGGAAGCAATGGCCTATAGAAGCCCCCTTGTGGTTGGAAGCATCCTATGTTTGCCATCGACCGGGTCAGGCACCCAGAAAGGCAAGCTTCCCAAAACAAACCCCTATTCTGGTGAAAATATTGCTACCAAAAAGCCGAACAAGTGGATAGAACTCCCCTAAACGAAACTAGCAGTCTGCGCAGCTCCCCCTCCCCGGGAGGGGAAAAGAGGAGCCCTAGACCCCAAACACTGGCTATTCACCCTTAGTTCTTAGGCTGGATGTTAAAACACGCGAAAAACCGCCGACCAGAGGGAGGGATGCCAGGGAGCCTCCGGGTCTCACCCAGAAAATGGCGTTTCATTACATTCAAAGCTGGTTTTCTGGGGGAGCTCATTCGGCTCCCCGAAGCTAACTACCCACAGAGGAAAAACGTACGGACTTACCCGGGAGGCAGTCGCTGCTCGCTCCTCAACTCGAAGTCGAGACAACCGGCTGCATCCGCCGACCCAATGCGATACAGGCCCGACTAGGCCCAGGAAAGTTCACTAGGTAACGAGCAGCCAGGACCCTGTTCGACTGCCAAAAGCCCCGTGCCCAAATGTTAGCCCACGGCATGTTGCCGAAGACGGCGGCAAGAGCAGCAAACTCACGAACGTCATGAGTATAGGGATAGACCGCAGGCTGGCTAGCCTTAATAACTGCGGAGACCCGCACATGCGAACAGGGAAGAAAGGAAACCGGATCAACCCAAAGCGCGTCCACGAACACAGAAGCCGTAGCGTGCAAATAATGGCAAAGAGTCGCAACCAGACACAAAACATGATGCCCCCCCCGGCGTGACGAACCAAGTATCGACAACCCAAGGACCCCTCCGGAAAGTAGCAGTCTCATTCCTCGCCAAAAAAAGAAGGAGACGGCTGCAAACGAACAAAACCATCACGAAGACCGAAGGAGCAGAAACCCCTGTGCCGGAGGAGAGCATGAAGCTCCCCAACCCGACCCCCAGAGGCCAATGCCAACAGAAAAAGAACCTTGGAGAAACAATCCTGAACCAAAGGGGCCACAACAAACCGAGGAGAAGAAAGAAAAGTGAGCACTCTGTCCAAAGACCAGGATGGCTCAGGCGGCGCATGAGCAGTCCGGAGGTGAAACAATGCACGAGAAAGCTGGCGAAACGGCGCAGAAGTAACATCAGTACCAAACATAAGCTGAAGCGGCTCCGCCAGAGCCGCACGATGTGAGGCGACAATGTTAGGCATAAGTTGACGGTCTTGGAACAACCAAGAGAGAAAGGACAACACGACCCTAACAGAAAGCGAAGTACAACAACGAAGACAAGAAGAAACGGAAGGACCACCTGGAAACTTCATACTGCCGCCGAGACAAAGCCCGCAGGTGGGACACTAACAAAGAAGCCACCTGATCACCATAGAGATGATGATAAACTCGAGTCAAAAATACCATATGCGAAGACTCGAGAAGATCGAACCAGCCACGTGACGTTCCGGTCTGATCTGCTGGAAGAGGCGGAGCTGCGGGAAAACCTCTGGGTTCAGAAACTGAGGAAGTAGCGCCTGAAACCACGGCTGGCCCAGCCACCATGGAGCCAAGAGGACAACTTTCCGCTGGTAAGTCTCCAAGCAAGGCAGAACCTGGAGCAACAGCTGAACCGGGGGAAAGAGATACAGGAACCCCCACCTCGACCAGTCCTGCCAAAAGGCATCGACCCCAACGACCTCGTAGTCGGGGGAAGGGTGCCACATACAGGGGGAAGGCGCTACAACCACGCCGACGGAAAGAGGTCCATCTCGGGGCGACCGAACATCTGGCAAAGCCAACTGAAGGAGTCGGCGTCGACCGTCCATTCCGTGGAGAAGGGAACGAAACGAGACAGGCCATCGGCCAAGACTTTGGACTAGGGAACGCACTTCTGCGGACCCCGAGAGGAAGAGCGAGGAATAGAGAAGGACAGCAGCAGGAAGAGGGGAAGTAGAAAGAGGGGGCAGCAAGCAAGGGAAGCAAGGGCAGCAACCGAGAGGGAAGCGGGGGCCAAAGAAACCTCCATAGCAGGAACAGGGGGCGCAACCACGAAGCCCTCAAACGGAGTGAATCCTGAACGTCAAGTGAAGAGAATCCTGTCACGCTAGGGTAGTACTTATGGAGCATCCAGGGAAGGGTACCCTAGGAGCATGCATCTTCAAGTACAAAAACACCTAGTAACCACACACAGCTGATACAGCCACACAGGGCAAAATCCAGAACAGGAACTTGAGGCCAGAGGTGACCAGTAGCCACCAACACATCAGAACGAGAACCGAGATGGAGGACGGACGGCTCCCTCTTCCCCCTTATCGGGGGGATGGGGGGGAAGGGTATGCTAATGAGCGGGGGTACTAGTTGAGGACAAGGTTTGCTAGTTTCTTTTCTTTCTGCAAGAGTTTCTTTGCTTCTTCTGGCTGTGGGTAGCAATTTACCAGCTAGCTGTTTGTTTTGGTTCACCTATCTTTCTGGGTATCCCCCCAGTCGATGGCGGAAGATGACATACTTTAAATGTAAAGTGCTCATACACCACTGCTCCCTGCGCTTCTCTGAGGGAACCAGGTTCTGGCTTGTGGTTCCTGGTAGGCTTAAGAGCTCCTGTGACTGATGGCCCCAAACTAATATATCATATCAGTTCAGATAGCTTCAGGGAGCCTACGGGGCTCCCCTAAAAACAATACAGGACTGTACCTGTATAGTAATTATACATTTCCTATATCCACTGAAAGCACACAACCTACTAGGCATTTCATCACTGCCAGTGTGAAACATCAGACTCCTTTTTAGAACCCTAACCTGCTAATGTTTGGGTCTGTCTTTAACCCTGAAGTAGGTGGAATGGTTTAATTGCTGTTTTTCACACAGCTTCTAATACGTTAGGATGAAAACACTACAAATGAATTTTTAATTTGATGCTCTTCTAGGTGTACATTTACCAGAACCACTAAAACTTAATTTTTGCAACAAATGCTTTTTCACAAATCAACAACACCTTCTGACACGCATTGTTAATTTTTCATGGGGTGCTGCTTTCACTTATATCCTGAAAAAACAGGTTAGTCAAATTATTATGTGAAATAGGAAATTAACATTTATATTGAAACATTAAATTTATTAGGAAGTGGAGTTGGTACAATTTTACCGACTGACTCCATTAACCACTGAACTGCTCTGCATTAAAATATGACACCCCCGTGGTGTGCCGAAAATAAATTCTTTCCAAAAAATTACTCTCTCTTATATTGTTAAAATGCAGTCTGTAATCACGGGAAACTAAAAAAAATATTGTGACATACTTTAGCCGTGATCGAGCTAGCAAGTTGAGCAAATTATGGGCCCCTGACTGATGGATCGCTCGTTGGTCACTTGGCCCAGCTACCCTGTGGAGCGGCAGTTGCCTCGAATATAATGTTTCACAATTATTTTTATGTTTCTCATTTGTTTCTTCTCTGGTTTTTTGCTGTAATATTATTCAAAAGTGTGTAATTTATGGAATTTATATGGTTCAATATGTGGAATATCTATATATGCTCAAGATTATGGGGCTCATATATGCGATTGTATCCACTCGAATTAACGGCCTCTTATTTTCCGATATGCCGGTTCCATCGACCAATTTGGGAGACCGGTATCTGGAGCCTCATATACCGGTCTGGCGGTCGATATAACTGTACGTCGGTATTGGGTTTGTTTTGGCAGCGGCGGGCCCTCACATGGCAAACAGGCCACCGACCTCAATCGTCCAGAGTCGTAAATTAAATCTTAACTTTCTTTTAAAAGATACGGTTTAATAAAGCAAATTCTAAATTATTCTTAATAAAATATTTTGAAGCCATTGTTATTAAGCAAAATTTTTTGGTTTCTTATTAAATACCTTTTATAGTATAGGCATTAGGTATTTTTTTTCCAAGGACTTGAATGTACTGTGTCGGACTATGTATCCTCATTGTTTACTATAGACTTGTGCGGGTTGCTTCAATTTTGAAGAACAATGTCTAAGAGCGTTAGCCAGAGATAATCAGATTCAGACAAAAATTGACAAATTCATGATTTCAACAGTCCATGAAAAATCTTCGTCTATAAGCCATGCTGCATCCACTGGGTATTCAGCAAGTTGTGCAGCATCCACCAGCAACGAATGCTTTACAAGCCATGCTGCACCTGCTGATGCTGAATTCCTATCAACAAGTCGTGCAGCATCTGCTAACTATGATATAAAATATGATTGAAATGCATATACATTAGTGCAAAAAGTGTTGATAGAGAACAGTATTGTAAGTGTTAATTAATAACTAAGCCTTGACAAAAAGATATACTGTGCACAGTGTAATTACAGAAATAAGTTTCAATTGTACAAGTGTATTACAGCCATTAGTCAACTTACTTTTTATTAACCACCGTGCTGCGCCGAGTTTATTGTGAAATTCCCCCTGTGCGCATGAATTAAAGTGTTCCCAAAATATTCTTTTTTCTTCATAAAATAATAAATTCCCTTCCCTGAACATGTCTATGTAAAAATAAATACCAAATTCCACTTACTTTGGCTGTGGGGACGTGGACAGGGTGCGCTGTGACATCATCAGGGCCTGGTCGCCTATGCATGAATCGCCCAGACACGGTCGCGTGGGCCATTTAAGCACCGGGTGTTGCCACAAATATATTTTCAATTATTTGTTCTATTTCCAATGTGGTTTTATTTGTTTTTTTTATTGTATATGATGCATATTTGTGTCCTTTACAATATGTATACAGTAGAACATTCATAATGTTTTATGGAACTGTGATACATGTGTCAGTACTGTAATGTGTCCACAATAAATGTTTAGTTGCAATATTACTTGTTAAAAATTCACTAAAATTACAATATGTACAGTTTCACACACTATTTACACAGTAACACACTGTATTACACACTCAGTACTTCGGAAATGAGTAATAATCAATGAAGTAGTCCATGGTGCACAGCGCGACTTCACTCTCGTTGCACCAGGTACAGATAAATTTTCGCTTCCCGTTTCTTCATTATGCGTGCTTGCAAATAACGCACTCACGTACACCCTTGTCTTTAGTACTTGTAGTTTGTATGTAGCCAATCTTGTAAAGCTTAAGGTAGTATTGAAAAGATTATAGGAAAAGATCAATTTGTAAGGTAGTCTTGAAAAGATCGCTTTGTATGGTCCCACACAGGAAGAGATTCAGCTTGCCTCAAAGAGTGTCCGTCACTCAGGATGAGATTCAGGTATTCTTGAAAATATCTATGGAAAACACCACCATGAAAGCTGCTAACACTGTTCATCTATGCTACTTGTATCAGATGCATCATCACTGAATGCAGAAAACGATTCATCTATGTATCATCTAAATAAATTTTGGAGATAGCATAGGATTGTAAGGGTGACGCTCAGAAATACAACTGGATACACTCGCTGTATCGTCCTCATAGGTGCTGTATCACTTGCATCTGATCTTTGTGTTATGTCCTTATTACGCCTAGCTTCACCAATATTATGACCCTTATGTTCTTCAAACAATAAGGTTTGAATTTCACCAACAGAGCATTATCTTTCAACACCGCGTTGGACAGGTCTTTGGGAGCCAGAGGCGCGTGCGCCACCCATGGTTGCTCACTCGGAACTAACCCAGCCAGCAACCCTAGGGCATTCTGAGAATTTTTTCCAAGATGGCTGCCTCTCACTGGGGGTCCTAAGAGTCCATTTTGTATACAACCAACCTCGCACACATTTAGAATGGGTACGAAAAAATCAAAATTTTCTCAGTTGGCGCAGTTTCCCACCGACCGAGAATACTCGGTTGGCGCAGTTAAGTGGTTAAAGTGCAGTGTATTACTCCCACGTGAATTAGTAGTAGGCCTAGCTGTTATGTGCAGTGCAGTGGTTAACCAAAGAAGTACTTCTAACTCTAACTCCACAACTCCAACTCCAAAGCCCTGCCTTTAATACAGTGTGCAGTACTTTGGATGCAAATACAGTACTGTATTACAAAGTCATAGCTTATCCTACCAAGTGCGTCAACAATGTCATCATTCTTTTTCTTCTCGCCTGAAAGATATCTTGAGTAGAGATGAAGAAATCGCCCGAGGTCCGTGGTGCAATGCTCAGTGAAGTAAGCACATCTGTTATCAAAACCAGAGCAAAGAAAATTGAATTAAAATATGTAAACTACCAATACAATATTTGTAAAAAAAATTAAAAGCACACATCACAAGTCTAATTTTCTTGTAAAATTAATAAATGGGTATTGTACATACGGGGCACCTCGGTTTACGAATTTAATCCGTTCCTGAAGATGGTTTGTAACCCGAAAATTCGTAAACCGAAGCGAATTTCCCCATAAGAAATAATGGGAAATGAATTAATCCGTTCCCGACTCCCCAAAAAAATTTCTTTAAAGTAAACTTTATACCTAATTCACCCAAATCTTCACTACTAAAGTATGTACAAGTTATTACTTACCCGTGCTGATGACTCCTGTTGGCATATGAAGACAGTGAGGAGAGGAGGAGAGGTGTTAGTGTTTGGAAGGGGAGATCCCTTCCATTATAATATCAGGCAGTGATGACTTCTCTGGGGTACACACACTGGCACATTTTGCCTGCATACCACTAGGACCTGCTTCTGGCTCACTGCATGATTTTCTTATTGTTTTTCTTGAAGATTGTTTTTTCCTTCTTTGTAACACTTGTCTGTAGTGAGACATCACATTGTTATTAATACGATAAATGCAACGGCCTGCTACAGTTTTATCTGGGCGATTCTTTTCAGCAAAACTTTGCACTTCTTCCCATACTGCACACATTTTCTTAATTAATGAGAAAGGGACATCCTCTACTGCCTCCTCCTCTTTCCCTTAAGATTTGTTAAACTGCCTAGCTAGTTCAACAACACGTGTACCATTTTCATGTTTACGAATGATCTCTTGTTTTTCCTCTATGGTCATTCTCACATGTGTTTTCTTGCCTTGAACCTTACCACTGGCTTTCTTGGGACCCATGGCGAGATATATAATAACTATTATGTTCAAATAGCCAAAAATCTGAAAAGAAACTGTAAATCCTTGCAAAGAATTCAGGCAGGATGGTCACTAGGCAGGAGGCACTGATAAACTGAGGCGCGATCGCCGTGCCACCACGTGCTTGGTCAACCATATGCGTATCAACAAACTCGTATCCCGAGGTAAAGTTTGTAACCTGATTCAAATTTTTCAAAGAAATCGGGCTCATAACCCGAAAAGTTCGTAAACAGGGGCATTCGTAAACCGAGGTACCACTGTACTGTATATCAAGAATATTTTCATGTCTACAAAACATACTTTGAGCATTCAAAAAGTTCTTTTCTGAGCAACTTAATCTGCCTCTCACAAAGGTATAATAATGCATTGTGCATAAGGATCAATGGACAGTCAAGCAAGATATATTGTAAATGTGGCACCACAGATAAATGATCTACAGCAATCCTTACAGGAGCATTTTAAACCATTTAGGAATCACTGAAATCAGTGTTAGTAGGCAGAAATAATTCACGTTATGACTCGCCAAGCTCCAATAATTTTACCATCTCATTAGCAATGAGAAGCTCTCATTAGCCTAATAACCAACCCCCAACAAATGCCTGCTTCTCTTCACCTCACCAAATGGCAGCCCAACTCAGGTCCAACACACTCCTACAAACCTCACACACTTGTGTTCAAATAAATGATAGACAAATTGGTATCACTGCCCAGCTGCAAACTGAAGAAGGCTACAAATAGAAAAACAACCACCTGGACCTAACGAATACAACCCCTGGCATCAGAGGAGAGCATGAAACTCCCCCACCAGAACCCCAGAGGCCAAGGCCAACAAAAACAAGGCCATACAAAAGCAATTCCAAACCGAACGGGCCACAACAAAATGATGAGAAGAAAGAAAAGAAACAACTCAGTCTAAAGACCAAGAAGGCTTAGGCAGTACAAGAGCAAGCAGGAGATGAAAAAACACACAAGAAATTTTGTGGAACGAAGCAAAAGAAACGTCCACCCTAAACACAAGCTGTTGTGGCTTCGCCAACGCCTTGCAATAAGAAGCGGCTATTAGATATGAGATACTGATCTAGAAAAAGCCAAGAGAGAAAGGACAAAACAACCTAGTCCAAATACCATAGCCCGAATGTTTGAATGAATATAAATTCACTAGAATGCATCCAGTGTAGGATGACAAAATTAATCCTCAAAATTAGAAACCTGTCATATGAAGAAAGATTGACATGCTTAAATTTTATTCTCTATAAAGGGGAAGAATTAGAGGTGACATGATAGAGGTGTACAAGTGGATGAATGGGCATAAAGGGGTTAACTTGAGGTTATCTTGAGATGATTTCGGGGCTTTAGTGTCCCCGCAGCCCGGTCCTCGACCAGGCCTACACCCCCAGGAAGCAGCCCGTGACAGCTGACTAACACCCAGGTACCTATTTTACTGCTAGGTAACAGGGGCATAGGGTGAAAGAAACTCTGCCCATTGTTTCTCGCCGGCGCCCGGGATCGAACCCGGGACCACAGGATCACAAGTCCAGTGTGCTGTCCGCTCGGCCGACCGGCTCCTCAATTATTATATTATTATATAATATTAATAGGGGATATTAATAGGGTATTAAAAATATCAACACAAGACAGAACACGAAAGAATGGGTATAAATTGTTTAAGTTTAGATTTAGGAAAGACATGGGTAAATATTGGTTCGGTAACAGGGTTGTTGATTTGTGGAACCAATTACCATGTAACTTGGTGGAGGTGGAGTCCCTCGATTGTTTCAAACGTGGGTTGGACATATGAGTGGGATTGGGTGCTTATAAATAGGGTCTGCCTTGTATGGATCAATATGCATTCTGCAGTCACCTTTTTTCTTATGTTCTTAAAATCGACAAAAACCGACAAAGAGAAAAACAATGAGGGAAAGACCGCCAAGAAACTTCGTACTGTCAAAGTGAAGAAGACCGTAGGTGGGATACCATCAAAGAAGCCACCTGATCACCATATAAATGGCAATACACACGCATCAGAAAGACCAAATGCGTAGTGGGGAGCAGTAAGGCGAACCAGCAAGGTACCTCACTGTCCCGACTTGCTGAAAGAAGCAGAGCCATGGAAAAATGCCTGGGTTCGGACACCGAGCAAGCAGTACCTGAAACCAAGGCTGGGCCAGTCACCATGGAGTAAGGAGAAGAACCTTTCCACGATAGGATTCCAAGCGAGCTAGAGCTTGGAGCAACAGCTAGACAGAGGATACGAGATACAGGAACACCTATCTCGACCAGTCCTGCCGAAAAGCATCTACTGCGACGGAGGCATTCTTTTAGCAATTTTGAGGGCTTCATACTTTATATAACCAGCAGTCGTTTGTTTTCTTTCACTGATTTTGTAGGTGCTTTCCCAGTGGTGGTAGACTATTAAAATTCACTGACATTTTTATCTAGTGCCACTGCTCTCTGTGCCTCATTAGAAGGGGGCCAGGTTCTGGCTCATGCTTCCTGGTAGGCCTAAAAACTCTGTAACTGATGGCCCCTAGTAGTTTGGCACTGTGTCAGCAATGTAGATACATGAAGCAAAAAGGGACTCCCACCCCCCCAAAAAAAAAAAAAAAATTAATGTACAATATTTCAAGCATTGATGTTCAAGCCAAAACACTAGCAAAGATATTTAATAGGTTACAAAATCAACACCTTTTAAAGACATTAAATCAAAGAAAATGAAAATTGTTTCTGGGACTTATTACTCAATAATACTGAATACATTTAAAATACATTTCTAACTTTAATAAAAAGTACTATGGTTCCTGCCTAGAGTATAACTACAGTAAGCTTATGTGCATAGTACCTGTCATACTCCTTTAGGTCAAAGTAGGACTTGGCCAGATGGTAATGATCAAGTTCATCCCCAAGAAGGTCATAAAGGGATGGAAGACTCGGCAGCTGTTCATCAAGCTGCACATCACGGACACATACTAGAAGTTCGCTAAGCCTGTAGCAGCAACAGAACAATGGACATTGTATATTAGTTCTATAACAGGGGTTATAGAATTCCGAACTAAAACCTGCAATATTTTAAATGCTATTAATAAATAAAAACACTACTATAATGTACAGTACCTGTACTGGATTTATGTATATGTATACATATGACTATGAATACATATGTATGTGTGTGTATATGACTGTGAATATGTATGTATGTTTATGAATGTACTACAGAATATGTACATACATAAACATACATTTGCCTACAATGGAAAGGCATTTGCCTTTCCATTGGAGACATTCGGCACTGTGGAGAGGGGGGAGGGGGTACCTGCTGCATGGGTAACAGCTTCTTCCCCGTATCATCCTACCCAGGCTCTGCGCCCTGGAGAGGCCACTCTAGACCATCAACCAGAGCACAACTCCATAGTCTCCCGAGACTGATGGATGCCTACTATTATTTATATGTACGTGTTTGTGTTTATATATATACAGTGGGGCCTCGACTTACGATGGTAATCCCAGATGGCTCCCAGAGCGGTATCTTAAGTCAAAACGAATTTTCCCATAAAAAATACTGTAATGGGAATTGAATTAATCCATTTCACACTCCCAAAAAAATGAACTTCAAAGTAAATTTTATACTTAATTTACCCAAATCTTTAATATTAAAGTACTGTATGTACAAGTTATTGCTTACCTTTATTGATGACTTTTGTTGGTGTATGGAAGACTGTGAGGACTCACCTAGTTGTGCTTGCGGGGGTTGAGCTCTGGCTCTTTGGTCTTGCCTCTCAACTGTCAAACAACTATGTACAGGTTCCTGAGCCTACTGGGCTCTATCATATCTACACTTGAAGCTGTGTATGGAGTCAGCCTCCACCACATCACTTCCTAATGCATTCCATTTCTCTACTATTCTGACACTGAAAAAAAATTTATAACGTCCCTATGGCTCATTTGGGCACTCAATTTCCACCTGTGTCCCCTAGTGCGTGTGCCCCTTGTGCTAAATAACCTGTCTTTATCTACTCTATCAATTCCTCTGAGAATCTTGAATGTAGTGATCATGTCCCCTTTAATTCTTGTCTCCCAGTGACGTGAGGTTTAATTCTCGTAGTCTCTCCTCGTAGCTCATACCTCTCAGTTCGAGTACTTGTCTGGTGGCAAACCTTTGAACCTTTTCCAGTTTAATCTTATGCTTGACTAGATGTGGACTCCATGCTAGAGTCGCATACTCCAGGATTGGTCTGACATATGTGGTATACAAAGTTCTGAACGATTCCTTACACAAGTTTCTAAAAGCCGTTCTTATGTTAGCCAACCTGGCATGTGCCGCTGATGTTATCCTCTTAGTATGAGCTTCAGGGGACAGGTCTGGCATGATATCAACCCCAGGTCTCTCTCTCTCTCAGACTCTTGAAGTATTTCATCTCCCAAATGATACCTTGTATCTGGTCTCCTGCTCCCTACACCTATCATCATTATATTGCATTTGCTTGGGTTAAACTCTAACAACCATTTGTTCGACCATTCCTGCAGCTTGTCCAGGTCTTCTTGAAGCCTCAAGCTGTCCTCCTCTGTCTTAATCCTTCTCATAATTTTGGCATTGTCAGCAAACATTGAGAGGAATGAGTTTATACCCTCTGGGAGATCATTTACGTATATCAGAAACAGGATAGGTCCGAGTACAGAGCCCTGTGGGGACTCCGCCTTTTCAACGCCAAAGGCGTGGTTTCAACGCCTTTTGACCATGTCGTAGCTCAGTCGATTAAGGCAGCGTCTGGGATGCTCTCGGATGCAGGTTCGAATCCTCGTCACGGCCCTTGTGGATTTGTGCATTTGATGCATCACGCAATTGTGATTTCTGTGTGTAATGATCACCATGGAGTTTCCCAATCTACTCTGCTTGTAACTTGAGTATTGTTAATTCTTAGGTTAACTGATTGGTGGACTTCTAACCAAACAAAAACATAAAACATTTTATCAATGTTAAGGATGTTTGTTAGCAGACAGCCACAGTTGGATTTAAGTTCAGTATTCACTGTGTCATTTAGAATAAGTGGGTTAGCATTTGAGAAAAATGAAGGTTGTGTCATCAGCAAATAGATTTGGCTTCAGGTGTTGCAGATGTTGAGTGGCATTAGGAAGATCATTGATGTAAATGAGAAAGCAGAGTGGACCCTGTAGAACACCAATGTTAATTTGCAGTGTGGGAAAAGTAGCGTCGTTCACCAAGGTAAGAATGCAAGTATTGAAGCCAGTAATCACTGACTCACTAGTGTTGTAGTTTGAGAAGTTTAGTGTGGTTAAAGGTGTCAAAAAGTCTTATGCAGGTCAACAAATAGAGCTGCATGTATCAAGCATGTTAATTAAAGCATCATTGGTGCTTTTATAAGGTGTGAAGCTACACTGATAAGAACTAAGTATTGTGGAATGAGCCTCATTTATATTGCCTGCCAGCAGGGGCACTTCCCTCCTACCTTCCAGATTATACCTGGCGGTGATTGGCTTCACCACCCCTAAGGCAGTAGGACTCCAGCAGAAGACAACTGCAACTCCTAGAGACCACAACTCACTTGTGCACCCTCTCTACTTTGGGACTATTTACCTTTCTTGCCAGTCATCCACCTATCTACTCATTTACTTCAGAAGCAGTGTTGCTACCTACAAGACCCCCAGAAATCTCCAGACTCAAAGTGAGCCTCTTTGTCTTCCTTAGCCTTAACCACCTTATGTAGGAGTTGCCATTAACTTCTAGTGAGGTAGTACTTCTATGTTTATCTAGGTATGAGTAAAGCTGTGTGTACATTAGTTTTCAAATAATTTGGCAAAGGTAGGCTGGATTGAAATTGGTCTAAAAAAATTATTTTAGCGACATCACCACTTTCATAGAGTGAGATTACTCTATCCTTTTTTAAGATTATCTGGGAAGGCTCACCACTTGGTGGTTTGCAGGAGTCCCCGCTGATAGCACTGCTCCCTGGCCACCACAAGGTCCTTCTTCACCTCACGCATGAAGTCCAGGTCCCTCAGGGGCGATGTCGACCTCCTATCCATTACCTCGCCGAACCTGCCAGCTGACTTGTCACACAGACCCTCGTAGCCCGCCATCATCCGTTTGTAAACATGCAGCCGGGCTACGGACCCAAGAAAACAATCAAGACTACGAGCTTAATGAATAGATAAATTTATAAACAAAATATAAACTTACATGAATTCCCCTGAGCACCACCATCCATCTAATGGCTTCGACGAAGACAGGAATTCACAGGCTCGTCAAAGGTTCCCCCTATTTATCCTGAGGATTTTTCCAACTGGATTCTTAAATGAAACGAAAAGCTGTGCGTATTAGTGGCTTTAGGCATAGTTTTTACCTTGTTTATTTAGTTATTTGTTTATTTATTGGCTATAAAAAGGCCCAAATGAATCTACCTGCGGGCCTCTAATACTCTAGTGACCTCAGTGAGAACAGGAAGCTGGCGGCTGTTCAAAATTCCAGATGAATTTTCAGGTCCATTTGTCCTGATGATTTTTGCAAGCTGGATTTTAAAGTTCAGCAGAGTTTTGGTATTTACGGCTTTGGCGGGTAGGCCGTTCCATGGGTTTTTACCTAAATTTACCTGAGGGCTATTAACACTAGTGGCCTCGACGAGGAAAGGAAGTTTCATAGGTTTATAACCCTGTGGGTGAAAAAGCATCTCCTGTTCTCAGTCCCACATTGTGGCTTGTCTAACTTAAAACCGTTGCTCCTTGTCTGTATTACATCTGACCTTTTGAAGAAATTGTCGGGATCAACATCCTCCAAATTACACACAGAAATCACAATAGCGTTATGCATCAAATGAACAAATCCCCAAGGGCCGTGACGAGGGTTCGAACCTACGTCCGAGAACATCCCGGACGCTGCCTTAATCGACTGAGCTACGACATGGTAAAATAATTGCAACCAGAAGTTATACTGACCTTACTTAGACCCTGTAGCCTCTCCGAGAGACAAACCAGGATTTTACGCAATTCCCCCGTGTACTCGAGCTCTGTCAATAGGCCGTTCTACCTCTTCGCCCTTACTTCATTACACACAGAAATCACAATAGCCATTGCAATAACCAATCTCGTCTCATCACATTCCCAAGCTGTGTGAGTGCCCCGACCACATAGGTCACCCCACTTGCAACAAAGACGTACAGACTCAAACATCTATGGTTCAGGGCCCACCTGCACCATGTTGCACAGAATTAAGGTACGCCTCCGATGTTACTACTGCTCGGCTTAGACTCGGTTACAAGTATCTCTGGGAATTCTCATTATCTGCCGATGTAGACCTGACTAAATGTAAACTGTGTCAACAAAATTATTCGCACACCCTCCGTCACTATGTGATGGAGTGCGAAAAGATACGTGAATTTAGAGACAATTCTATAATCTGTCTATAAAGACTGTACCTCTCTCAACCAGTTTAAGATAAAAACTAAACACTACCTAATAAATTCCCTGTAACCCACCTCACTCCTTTATTGTCAACCCATGTCTGTTATTTTATTATTATTATTTTTTTAATCAACATTGTTTGTCAACCTATTGTATTTGTGCTGCTTTTTCAGTCATGTTCCCCCTTTTTTTTATCTTTATTTGTATTTGTTTTCAACACTTTTTATTCTTTATGCTCAATTAGTATTAAGTTCTAGATATTAATGTTTTTCTTGCCCGAAACGCATTGCGTAATAGTGGCTTTAGGCATTGTATGTACTAGCTCTATCTATATATCAATCCATTAATGTAACATCACTTGTATGTATGTACCTTACCTGAATAAACATATTTATATTTATTTATTTATTTTATAATCAATGTTCCAGCGATGTGTAAATATTTCATTCAAAATGATCTGCTACCAGAAATTTTAGCCAAATATCCCCAGTTTGCTAACTGTAGGTAGTAACTAAGTGATTGTAACCTATCCATCGCTGCCCACTAGATGGGGGGCGGTGTGCAGGACAAACATATTAATTGTGACACTAGCTCTCCGCATATGTCAGATGCTTAATTTAGAACCTGTACTTGAGATCGATCTCGAACCCATTGTTGATGTGATGACTTATATTGAATTTTGTAACTAGCTCATCAAGATTGTAACTTGCTTAGCTAAATGAATTGTGGGGTTCAGTCCCTGAGCCCATTTTGTGCCTCTGTAACCCTTTCCACTACCGCCCACAAGATGGGTATGGGGTGCATAATAAATGAACTAAACTAACGCCTCCGAGAGGACCTCGTTCTCACCACGGCTGAGATCTTAGAAAAGGTCTCTACCATCGGCAAAGTCTCACCGGCTGACATCTTGGAGCCAAGAGAAGGTGTTCACTTTCTCTTTCTCTTTCTCCGGCGACAACGACCTAGACAAACTATTCGCCGCCTCCATAACGACCACCCTGCTAGACGCCGACCTCTCCCTCACTCTTCCACGACGCTACCTGGCGGACAGGACTGTTTGCCAGACACATCAACGACAACGACATCCTCGCCAGTATCAATGTGTTAAAGTTTTTCATGTGTATTATACATATATAAAACGCTGAACTGTAATGCCAATCCTGACCTCAAAAGCTTCATAGAAAGTTGTAACAGAACCCATGAGCACCACACCAGAAATAAATACAGTTTTGATATTCCTAGAGTACGACTTAATCAAACTAGAAATGCTCTACAAATCAAGGGACCCAGAATGTGGAATGACCTTCCCAACCATGTTAAAGACTGTACCTCTCTCAACCAGTTTAAGATAAAAACGAAGCACTACCTAATAAATCATATTAGTTGATACTAATAGTATCAACCAGGTCAACACTGAAAGATATATGTTGCGTTTTCTGTGGAAGTATGGAACGCGAGACCAGATTCCGGCTTAACTGTGATACAAATTAATTTTAAATAAAGTTTTCTAAAATGAAGACAAATTTCAGTATTTGGTTTTCTGCCATCTTTATTCTACTTGATGACATTAACCTGAGAGGAGGGAGGGAAGAAAGGTCTCAAATATTATGTCAAATTTCTAGCAAATGGCTGAGAAGCTGATGGCGAGAGGTGTAGATGCTTGAGAAACGAAAGGAAAAGAAAGGTGGACAAATTACACAGAGATAACACAAGAGAAAGAGTGTGGAAGCTTATCTTAGATAACGCTTTCTCCCACGATTGATAAATCTATATGAATAAAAATGTAAATATTCGTTTGTTCAAAATCTTAAATCTCAGAAAGAATTGTTTACCGATTGCTTTGAAATTTTGACACAACGTTCCATTCGAATACGCGCGCGTTTTTATATACCTACCATATAGATGTCATACCTGTGACAGGTAAAATATGCTTTTTTTGAAAAACTACTTTTCATGTGAGGGAAATCTCTGAAAGTTCTTCACCGAGAGCTTTGAAATTTTGACACACCTATGCATTCGAATACGCGTGTGTTTTTATATACCTACTATATAGATATCACCCTGTGACAGGTATAAACTTTTTTTAACTGTTTTTCATATGAGGGATAGATGGGGAGGACGAGGGGATGGGCGAGTGGGAAATGATGGGGAGGACGAGGGGATGGGCGAGTGGGAAATGGTGGGGAGGACGAGGGGGCAATGTTGGGGAGGACGAGGGGACGGGGAAGTGGGGAATGGTTGGGGGGACAGGGGGACGGGGAAGTGGGGAATGGTTGGGAGAACAAGGGGGACAGGGGAGGGGGAAATGGTGGGGAGGACAAGGGGACAAGGGAGTGGGGAAAGGCTGGGAGGACGAGGTGACAGGGGAGGAGGGACTGGTAGGGAGGACGGAGGCAGGACGGGGGAGGGACGGACGTTCTAGAATCGGCAAACCAAACAATCTCTATATCTCCACAGACAATGGAACAACAAACAATATTGAATACCCACAAGCATTGTGAAATTAAACATATTAGAAACGTGCGCTTTCTCTTTTCTTTCTTTTTCATTTAACCAGACTGAGTCACAGCAACGCGTGGCCAGGTACAGCTAGTAGTTAATAAACACATGTTTAACTTTCACATTACATCTCTTATCAGCCTCACCTCTATAACCACCTCTCCAGTTGATATCATATATAACCCATGTGAAAGAGTCTGTGGTTACCGCGTGGACACTTTTCTCTACAACGTTGACTCTTGGGAGAAGACAGATGGCTGCGTCACCTTGGACGCCTGCTTGGGAGGGTCTGAAGGCAGTATAAAGCTGCCTGCTAGAGAGAGCTCCTTACACAGCTTCTGCCAGCAAGATGAAGTGCCTCCTGGTCCTCCTCTCCCTCGCTGCCCTTGCATGGTAAAAGCTCTATTACTCCATAACAACTGCTGTATATTTGTAGGCGTTTTACTCTTGTGAGACTATACACTCAATATAAATTTAAATTTATGTGCTTCATCAGGTATGGGTTTCGTACTATTGGAACATTCAGCAATACTGACCTGGAATTACACAGGTAGTGTTTAAAGCCATAAAAGACTCTTTGGTCTATTCATAATCACATATATATAGGAACTTCTTCGTGTTGACCAAAAGGCTCTTTGCTTTTTCATTTATTCTCATCTTCTAATGGCATATGTACTACTCTAGATGCGCTTTCAAGAGAAGCATAAACTCTGGTCGCGGCCATTTAGCAATTTTTTTTTTTTTTTTTGCAAATGCTACCTCAATTTCCTCCCTTTCATTCAACTGAACTCTAATTTTACAATAAAAATAAGTGCTAGCTTCCATCTCTATGTCTTATCTGGATTTTTAGTTCCCTCCTGGTCATTTCCTGCTGCACATTCTCGTGCTAAACATGTAGATTTTGATTGCCTATTTTAGATGTCTCTAAAGTTCTTCATGTTGTGCTCATGTTATCTCTGCCCTTCCTTTGCCCTCATCCCTTTGTGTGTATTTTACCTCAATAAACTTATTTCAATTTCAATTTCAATTCCTTTGCTCCAGCTAAACTACTTCAGCTTTTTCTCCTGTGTTAGCCTAATATAGTATGGGATTGCAGATCTGTTATATATATTTTTTTCTTTAGTGTATTTTTGAGGTGCGTACTCCACATTTGGGTTAGTTATTTTATTACTCTGTGTTCACCGTTCCTCATAATTCCTTGTCCAGGTTTTTAATGGTTACATAAATGTTTTCGAGCTTCTGATATGCCGCTGATTTTATCCTGCTAATGCGTGCCTCTGGTAAGAGATTTTGTATTATGTTTAACAGCAGCTCCCCTAGTCTTACAGATTAATACAATTATCTCTTATTTGTCTAGAATTGGTCATTAAGCCTCCTCACTTCTATCCCATGTTCTCGAGTGAGCGGTGAAAAAAAATATTGTCCCACGTTCTCCTGGTAATCTTCGTTCCATCATGGTGTATCACAGACTTAAGCTGAATACAGGCGGGAGAAAAGAAAATATGGAGAAGAAAGCAGGAAAAGATGAATGAAGATGATAAATTCTGGCAGTAAGTGATGGTGGGGAGGTGGAGGAAGAGGAGGAAGTGCAGGAAGAGACTGATAAGTTGGCGCTTAGAGAGGAATAGGAAGAGATGACTGTACTCACCTAGTTGTACTCACCTAATTGTGCTTGCGAGGGTTGAACTCTGGCTCTTTAGTCTCGTCTGTCAACTCTCAATCAACTGGTGTTCAGATTCCTGAGTCTACTGGGTTCTATCATATTTACATTTGAGATGGATTAAGGGAGAAGTGAGTGGAGGTACTAGAGGAATAGACAAAGTGGGAGGAGAGGGAGAAAAATGACAGGATGCAAAATAAGTAAGAGATGAGTTAGCGTGAAGATGATGTTGATGAAGCAGGATGAAGAAGCAGAGAAGCAGAGTGAGAGGTAGAGCAGAACTGTAAGGGAGCTGGGATGGAATAGGGGTGAGGTGGGATTGAGGTGGCAGAAGACTTGATGTGGTAGACTATGCAAGTGGTGTCGGAAAACCCGACACCATTTAATAATATTACATGCAATAGGCAGATAATATTGCTGCTGTGTTGTATACACAAGTTAACCCATAGAAAATGTAGCTTGTAGTAGAATTTTCCGCCAATAGAAAACGGGATATCATTGCCACATAGTACTATAAATTCACCAGCTATTCTGTTGGGCATTATTCTTAAATACATTAGTCTTTTGACTTTTTACATCATAAAACCATCTCATTTTAATTAACTTAATTATCAGTATCAAAATAGAGTAAATGTGACCCTTCTAGCACCTAATGACATCTGGACAAAGTGAGCCAGGAGCGTCAGTGGGGTGAGAGAGGTCAGCCATCCACAAATGTGGTGATCTCACAGATGTTAACAACTACAGACCTATATCAATCCTGCCAAACTTGTCAAAAATTTTTGAAAAACTAATCTATAAACAGCTTTACTCATATCTAGCCAAACTCAATATACTTAGCCCTTGCCAATATGGCTTCAGGCCCCAAAAAAGCACTAACGATGCACTTATTAGTATGCTTAACTCGATTCATACAGCTCTTGATAAAAATGAGTTCCCTGTTGGGTTATTTGTGGACCTGCGTAAAGCTTTCGATACTGTCAACCACCAAAACCTTCTTCTTAAATTACATCATTATGGTGTCAGAGGACACTCCCTACAATACCTCAAATCCTACCTTACTGACAGGCTCCAATGTGTTTCTGTGAATAATACAATTTCTCCCACCCTACCCATCAACATTGGTGTTCCCCAGGGCAGCATACTTGGCCCTCTCCTCTTTCTCATCTACATTAATGACCTTCCAAATGCCTCCCAACACCTCAAACCAATTCTATTTGCTGACGACACAACCTTCATTTACTCCAGTCCTGATCCCCTTGCTCTAAATGCCACAGTAAATACTGAGCTAAATAAAGTCCATCTGTGGCTAACTGCCAACAAACTCACCCTTAACATTGACAAAACTTTCTATATTCTGTTTGGCAATAAATCCTCTAATCAAATAAATCTCAAAATAAACAATACCCAAATTTGTAACAAATTAGATGGCAAATTCCTTGGCATTCTCATTGACCACAAGCTGAATTTCCAGGGACACATTCTAAACATATCAAAAAAAGTTTCAAAAACTGTGGGCATTCTTTCTAAGATCAGATATTATGTACCACGCCCTGCCCTGGTGACTCTCTATTACTCCCTTATCTATCCATATCTCAACTATGGTATTTGTGCTTGGGGCTCTACTACCCAAAATCACTTACGTCCTCTAATTACTCAACACAAAGCTGCTATTAGGACAATATCCAATTCTGGCCCCAGACATCACTCGGTACCCCTACTCAAATCTCTGAATATGTTAGACATTAAGTCACTGCACATTCTCTCATGTGTATTATACATATATAAAACGCTAAACTATAATATAATAAACTATAATAATACTATATTTTAACGATTCTTCGCGGCAGGGGATCGTATTCCAGGGACCATAGGATTAAGGACTTGCCCGAAACGCTACGCGTACTAGTGGCTGTACAAGAATGTAACAACTCTTGTATATATCCCCCCCCCCAAAAAAAAAAAAAAAAAAAAATGCCAATCCTGATCTCAAAAGCTTCATAGAAGGTTGTAACAGAACCCATGAGCACCACACCAGAAATAAATACAGTTTTGATATTCCTAGAGTACGACTTAATCAAACCAGAAATGCTCTACAAATCAAGGGGCCCAGAATGTGGAATGACCTTCCCAACCATGTTAAAGACTGTACCTCTCTCAACCAGTTTAAGTTAAAAACGAAGCTATACCTAATAAATTCCCTGTAACCTACCTTACCCCTCTGTTGTCAACCCATGTATGTTTTTTGTTTTTTTTTGTTTTTCAAATCAACACTGTTTGAATGTAATTTTCTGTAATAATTTGTAATTGTATTTGTGCTGCTTTTTCAACAATGTTCCCCCCCTCTTTTACCGCTATTTTTATTTGTACTCAACACATTTTATTCTTTTTACCCATTAGTTTTAAGCTTTAGTCATTAGTGTTTTTTTCCTGCCCGAAACGCTTTGCGTAATAGTGGCTTTAGGCATTGTATGTACTAGCTCTATCTAGAAAGCCAACAAACTTTGTAAAATCTCTTTATGTATGTACCTTTACCTAAATAAAAATTATTATTATTATTATTATTATGTTTGTTAAGACCAGAGGCGTTGGGAAGCAAATTCAGCTCCTATAATTCTCTTGGACGAAGTGTTAAGAAGACCAAATTAGTGTTCAATCATCATCAACACGCTGTCAACATAAACAAGGGAAGTGTCTTACCGAAACCCGTTTATCTAATCATTTCTGGCCAGTTAATGTTAAGTAGATAAAGGGCGAACCGGTTAGCACGAGAAAGAGCCTCTAATTACAGGTAATTAAGCCTTGGTCCTTGTCTTATATAATATACAGTGTTTTCTCTGATATAGCTGTCATATATTAGGATTCCAGCTTTAAAGCTAGTACCCTTTGACAGGAACAAGAAGAGGAAGCAAGAATTAATCTTGGTACATTAGTTACTTGGGGTGTTGGAAGCTAGCCTCTCATGAGGATAATTTGGTATCTACATCCTAGTTATACTTGGTGGACTAAGCCTGCTGTACAATAAGATAAGGAACCTCCTCAATTTATATACTAATATATGTAGTTTAATACTGTAGTTTGATTGGCTGCATATATATAAATTTAATATAAACCCCCCTAATGTGTAAGGATCGATTTGTGAGAAATATTGCAGAAATACAGTCCACTTAACATCATACCAATTGCTATCGAAATATATAAATTAATGTAAATATAAATTCTATATAAATTCATATAAATTAAATAAATATAAATCTCAGGTCGGTTCCCACATTATATGGTCCTTCGAGCCGGATGACAAATTATTTGGTCATCTTTGTATGGGATGAACGAGTTAACCAGTGGATTCATTAAATACACTGGTACTAATGCGATTTATATAATAACAATACATCGCTAGTCAAAGACCGGCAGCGTAGCCTCGAGCGAGCTCTAGAGCCCCTCAGCCCAGCTCGGCCTCATCAGCGGTTTCATGGTCACTCACCGATTTGGTGCAGTGTTATTCTGTGAAGGGACAGCGCTTATTTTTAAGCCAGCCAAATTAGTGGCTGTGCCCTTGCAAGATTATTCACGAGTTTTGTGGTGTTAATTTCGCGAGAGATTATCCACGAATTTTGTGGAGTTAATTTCGCGAGGTCACTAATAAGATTTAATACGTCTAGATAATATTAGAAGTTTCATAGAGGCTATTATGAGGCTATCATCAATAATTGTGTATATTATTTCTCTTAAATATAGAATTATTTAATATATATTGCAGTAGTGTTCACAATATAATATTTACCAATTGCCAACCCACAACAGGGTAGGATATATATTGACTAGTGTTTATAGATAACCTAGTCCCCTATTACCATTGACTAGTTAAACTATTTATTGTTCATCCTAGTCCCATTTATTACCATAGTCTAGTTATACTACATTGAGCAACCTAGCACCATTAATGAATGGTACAGGTCCTATTTTGGGTGTAATTTTTATCAACTCGAGTTGAGTTGTGTATATATAATAATTTACTTATGATCATACCACCTTTTGAGTGATTAATTAGTGTCTATACCATCCTAGGGTGATAATTGAGGAGCTAACCTAAAGGTACTTCATGTGACACTGGTTTATCACTCAAATCATTAGTGTGTATGATTATATATATAATGTGTATTAATTTCAAGTGCTAACCTCTAGAAGAGGTAGGATTATAGCCTAGTGATTGCAGAATTTTACCCTAGGCTATCATCAGTACTTGTTCAGCATTATAAGTAACCCAAGTACAAGCCCCACAAGGCTTTATATATACCAACTAGCCAGTATGTATAATGCAGGGAGAACGAAAAGAACCCTTGCAGGCCACTTAACAAGACAGATCAAGAAATGTGAAGATTTGCCACAACAATCTCCAGTTGATTATGCTGACCTAGAAAGCTATTATCAAGCAGCTGCAGGTAAATTTGAGCAAATCAAATGCCAAATAGCAACATATGTGGCTGAACTTGCCAACACCAATTTATCAGAAACATAAATAGACGACTTTATAGTTGATCTAGCTAGTTATGAAGATCACACTCAGGCCACGTTACAGCCTTATGTCAAATTAATTGTCCAGAACAGAGCAACAGCAACAACAGTTTCATCTAATACGAGTCAAGCAGAGGCTCGACTCCCTCCAATTAATTTACCCACTTTCTCAGGAAAAGACGAGGAAGATTGGGACGAATTTTGGAACAAATTCGTTGACCTTGTGAACTCAAAACAATCTTTACCTAAGAGTAGTAAATTCTCTTATCATCAAGGCCAATTATCAGGTGAGGCTAAAACAGTAGTATCCCATCTGAGATTAACTAATGACGGCTATGATCTAGCAGTACAACTCCTCAAGGATAATTATGCTGATCCAGAAGTAAGAACATCACATTTAGTTCATGAGCCTGTTGCATTTACCCCCACCGGAGGCTTCAGCTGATTCACTCCAAGTCTTCAAGCTGGAGGTAGAATCAATGATCAAGGCCCTCAGCCTGACAGCAGATACAAACGGGGCTGAGTGGGTCTTGAAAATAATTGTCCAGGAGAAAATACCTAGGGACGTATTGAGACAAATGAGTGCTCATTACAATAAAAGTATCTTATCTATGAATTAAATATCTGAGGGTTTACGTTCAGTAGTTTATTTATTTATTTATTTATATATATACAAGAAGGTACATTGGGTTTGTGAGAATACATTGGATAGTACAGTATTTACATTCTTGTAAAGCCACTAGTACGCGCAGCGTTTCGTGCAGGTCCTTAATCTAGCAGATAATTTTAAGTAGGTAAAATTAGGGTAAAATTAGTTCATCAATTACGAATACATGGCAAATTAAAACCACCAAGTAAACCTTCAGAAACCAATAATAGTAAACCACAGAGTACCAAAGGTACTCCAAATCAATTTAAACAATATAATTCAACACCAAAGTGGAACAGTGGCAGTGTGGGCGTGTATGCAACGGGACCCTCCAAGCCTATAGTTACTGTGTCACCCAAGAACGTGACACCAAAGGGTACTGGAAGCTATGGAACATGTTTGTTCTGCAATGAGAAACATTCAATGTGCCACTGCCCTAATTTTCCTGATAGTGACACCCGTGTTGAGCGACTCAAAGATTTGCAACATTGCACGAGGTGCCTCAGGAAACATAACATCAACGACTGTGATACCCAATTACACACCTGTAATAGGTGTAACAAGGGTCAGCACCATGCAGCATTGTGCGGAGACACCAAAACAAAGTCTCCAAACCCCAAGGTGGAAGATAGCATTCCCACCACAGTACAGTACTGCAAGGTGCAACAAACAAAGAGTGTCCAATCGGCAAACTCTAAAGGTAATACGACTTTGCCTACTGCCCAAATTACCATCCAGAATAATATGGCCAAGGTCCATACCCGTGGGTTGTTTGACGAAGGATTCCAGAGAACATATGTCACTAAAAAGTTGGCAGATGAACTACAATTAAGGCCTATAGCCCAGACGACAATCAACATCTCAGGGTTTACAACAGATGCAGGACCTCAAGTCTACCAGGTGGTACAACCATCAGTACGTTTAGGGAGGTACGTCTGTCAAGTACAAGCCATTGTTGTGGACAAAATACCAGCAGACCTACAAGTACAAGGTCTGAGAGCAAGAGCCAAATTCCTGAGAAATAGAGAAATAAAATTGGCAGATAATATTAAGTCTGATCACCTCACCGACTTCGGTATCCTTGTAGGTACAGACTACTACCATCGATTCATTGGTAGCCCTACTAAATATCAGGGCATAACCATGCTAAATTCTGCAGGAGGCAAATTACTCTCAGGCCCATTAAGCCTGAAGAGACCTATGCCTGCAGATAAACAATACCAGTAGAAATCTAAATTTGTCAGCTGATTATATATCTCCAGTAGCATTATACTAAGGAGATTACAGCTGACCATAGCAACAGAGGTTGATGTTAATATCATCATTTAAAGTTGAAGATGAGTTCATGAGGCCTCAGTGGCAAATCAGTGAACAGTAGCCTAAACAGCTACAAGTCACTGCGACCAATGTCACTGAACCCACTTCAGTCTCAGAACCATACTTGACTTTAATGATGGACTATTCAATCCTCTGAATTAACTAAATTAATTTAAACCCCAATAAATCTGACGACTGAGATTGATACATTTATTATTTAATCAAGATGAATTCCATGGGCCTCAGTGTTTATATCAGTGACCAGTTACCTGAACAAGCTTCAAGTTATATCTAATGTCACTGATCTTACTGCAGTCCCTGAATTTATTCTATATAAATTCATATAAATTAAATAAATATAAATCTCACAGGTCGGTTCCCACAAGTGGGAGAGAGCAAAGTAACAGGAGTGTGGGAAGAAACAGGTGGGCTAAAATGCGTAGATAATGAAACTTCGGCAGAAGCGAGGTGAAGAGCTTCCTATATAGGTCATGAGTGATACCAACTCGAAGATTTGTGTGTGTATGTACTCACCTATTTGTCCCTGCAGGATCGAATATTAGCTCTTGGATTCGATTTTCCAAGCCGCCTTTTGTTTAATGCTCCTTACCTGTTTCCCTAGTGTATCATCTTTTAAAATTATGAATAGAGGTTGCTTCTATTGCCTGCTCCTTTGGTTCATTCTATTTTACCACTACTCTCATGCAAAAGAAAGCTTTCTAACATCTTTATGACGCATATATCAAGCTTCCATCCACGCCCTCTTGTTCTATTGGTACTCAATGTGAGCATTTCCTCTGTATCCACTTTGTCCATCCTCATAACTATTTTATAAATCTATATCGTCTTCTCTCTTTCCTCTAATCTAGCTTCATCAGGTTTAGTTCTATGAGTTTCTCTTCCTACTCCGTTTCCGTGTTTCCCTTTCTCGTGTGGTTATTTCCATTTCCATCGTCTTACGCTTCCTGGTGTAGAACTCTTGCAGCCATTTCTCGGACCAACTTTGCAGCTTAAGTCATCTTTGCTTATCTTACAATCCACATTTATTAAAACTCTTCTCATTTTGCATCGTCTGCAAACATGGAAATGTAAGACTCAAGATCTGTAGATAGGTCGTTTACATAAATGAGAAAAAGTGAGGGTCCTAGCACCAATCCTTGAGGTACTCCGCTTGTTACTCTACTCCAGTCCGACTTCTCGCCCCTTCACTGTCACTCTCTGACTTCTGTCTGTTAAGTAATCCTTTACCTAATGTTACTGCTCTATCGCTAACTCCCGCCTACATCTCTAATTTGTGTAATAATCTATTTTCAGGTAATCCATGGCTTTTCGGCAGTTTAGAAATAAGCAATATGGCCAACCATCTCCGTCGTGCTTTATTTGTATTACTTGACCTTAGGTCCGTCAGGTACGATCTTCGTTCCCGAAGTTGATGTTTGCCTACAGACCAATGTTAGTGACATTGGTCTGCATTTATGTGCCTCTTCCCTATCTTCTTTCATGTAAATTGGTACCACAATTGCCCTCTTCCAGTAGCTGGGTAGTTCACCCAGTGTGTTGATCTTTATTGACTTATTAAAGATCAATACTAGAGGTATGCTGAGAGCATGTGCCGCTGTTTTAACATCTATGGTAATACGTTATGTTGTTCAGTAGGTTAAGTTTCATCTAGTGATGCTAGATGTTTCTATATTTTCTCTGCTTTTACTTCATATGTAGCAATCTCTCAACTAGTGTTATTCCCTCTTCTAGCACTAGGAGCTGTTCGGGCGCAGTTGTGAACACTCCATTGAAGCGACGGTCTCGCTTCATGCAGGTCAGCGTTCAATTCCCGACTATCCAAGTGGTTGGGCACGAGTCTTTTACCCCCGTTCCATCCCAAATCCTTATCCTCATCCCGTCCCAGTGCTATATAGTCTTAATGGCTTGGCCCTTTCCTCTGATAATTCACTCATTCACTCCCCCTTTTTTTGTAACCTGATCACTTGATCATTCACTGTTATTTGTCTTCATACATGGCTATATAGGCGTTTTAGGAGTTTCCTTGGTTTCGAAGCCATATCATTTTCATTGTTTCTTTTCGACTCTTTTCTTATATTTATGCATTCGTTCCTAGCCTTTTCGTTTCATTCTATTTCGGTTGTCCTGTCATTTGACCACTCCATTTCTGTCATTCCCTCCTGCTTTTCATTTTTGCTTCTTGTCACTTTGTATTATTCCCTGAGTTATTATATTCTCTCATATTTGTTTTCTCTTATTATTTGGTATAAATCTCTCTTCTTCTTCTTCTTCTTTGCATTTTACTTTTACTTTGTCAATTAGTTCTTGGACTTTCCATTCACCTGAGCTGTAGGAGATCGAACCGTGGACCCCACGCGTGTAAGGCCGAAGCTCTATCGAACTATATTTATTTATAATTCTTGGACTGTTTTTTCACTTAAGTTCTTCTCATTACACACTTTTCGGATCCTCTCTTATTTTCTTGTAAACCCATTTTCTATTATCTTCTCTCCCTAAACCCTTGTCCTATGGTCATTGTTTTAAGTTCGATCATAAAGTCCAATACCAGGACACAATGGTCACTGGCTCTTAGTGGTGTTTCCTGCTCCAAGTTCTCGATGTCTTCATTCTAAGTAAAGATCAGGTCCGATAGGCTTAGTGTACCTTTGTCTAGTCTCATCTTTTACATGTCGTGTCAAAAAGATTTTTTTTTTTTAACAATTTCTACCAATTTTGCCCTCCACACGTTTCTTCCCTACACGGGAATTTCTCGGTTCCCAATCCGCCTCTCCTTGATTTAAGTCCCTGTCACTAGTATTTTAGCTTTCGTTCTGCGTGCTTCTGTTCTGCTCAGCAATTCATCTATGTATACATTGATGTTGCTGTCGTGGTAATCCTGCCTTGGTCTTCTGTTGTTTGCTGGCGTGTTGTAAATTACCAGGACCACAACCCTTTTCCAATCTGCTGTCAGAGTCCCTGGGACGGAGACTCACCTAGTTGTGCGGGGGGGGGTTCATCTTCGGCTCTTTGGTCCAGCCTCTCAGCTATCAATCAACTGGTTTTACAACTGGTTTTACGCTTTACACTGCCTCACCTAGGCAGTGTAAAGCGCCCTAAATGCCTCCTTACTTAGGTTTCTGAATGATGTTCTAACTTTTGCCAGTGTAGAGTACGCTGCTGTCGTTATTCTATTTACATGTGCCTCAGGATTTGGATTAGGTGTTACATCCACGCCCAGGTCTCTTTCTCGAGTCGTTACAGGTAGGCAGTTCCCCTTCATTGTGTTCTGTCCCTTTGGTCTCCTGTCACATAATCCCATTTCCGTAACTTTACATTTGCTCGCGTTGAACTCCAGTAGCCATTTCTCTGACCATCTCTGCAACCTGTTCAAGTCCTCTTGCAGGATCCTATAATCCTCATCTGTCACAACTCTTTTCATCAACTTTGCATCATCAGCGAACATCAACATGTAGGATTCTACTCCTGTAAACATGTCATAAACGTATATTAGAAATAAAATTGGTCCCAGCACTGATCCTTGAGGTATTCCACTCGTTACTTTTCGCCGGTCTGACTTCTCGCCCCTTACCGTAACTCTCTGGCTCCTTCCTGTTAGGTAGTTCCACACAGGCTTACTGTATTCACCTAGTTGTATTCATCTAGTTGTGTTTGCGGGGGTTGAGCTTTGCTCTTTCGGCCCGCCGAAAGTGAAGGGGCCTCGTAACCTGGTGGATAGCGCGCAGGACTCGTAATTCTGCGGCGCGGGTTCGATTCCCGCACGAGGCAGAAACAAATGGGCCAAGTTTCTTTCACCCTATGCCCCTGTTACCTAGCAGTAAATAGGTACCTGGGTGTTAGTCAGCTGTCACGGGCTGCTTCCTGGGGGTGGAGGCCTGGTCGAGGACCGGGCCGCGGGGACACTAAAAGCCCCGAAATCATCTCAAGATAACCATCTCAAGATAACCGCCTCTCAACTGTTTACTAACTACTTTGTTTTTTTTCCTACAACCCCTTCCCCCCTAGGAATCAGCCCATGGCAGCTGACTAACTCCCAGGTACCTATTCACTGCTAGGTAACAGGGACATTCAGGGTGAAAGAAACTTTGCCTATTTGTTTCTGCCTCGTGCGGGAATCGAACCCGCGCCACAGAATTACGAGTCCTGCGCGCTATCCACCAGGCTACGAGGCCCCGTTGTGTGTGTGTGTGTGTGTGTGTGTGTGTGTGTGTGTGTGTGTGTGTGTGTGTGTGTGTGTGTGTGTGTGTGTGTGTGTGTGTGTATAGGTTCCTGGTTAAACAAGAGATAATTTATTGCTTTCTCTCCCATTAATATAAAACACCTTATATATGAATTATTCAACAGGTCGCAAGAGGAAAGTGAGTGTAACTGTGAAGTTGTCTTGGGGGCCAGATTCATGAAAGAACTTACGCAAGCACCTACGAACGTGTACATCTTTCCTCAATCTTTGACGGCTTTGGTTACATTTATTAAACAGTTTCCAAGCATGAAAACTTTCCATTCCTCTGTTGTTTTTGTTATAAACAGCCTCCTGGTGCTTCGGAGCTCATTAACTGTTTAATAATTGTAAACAAAACTGCCAAAGATTGAGAAAAGATGTACAGGTTCGTAAGTGTTTACATAAGTGCTTTCGTGAATCTGGCCCCCTGGTCCCTAAAGTGTGCGTCTGCTTTTTATTTAATGCCAATGAGGCTATTCCATTCCCGTATTTTCTCTAGTGGGATTCACTCACAAACGGAGGAGACATGCACTACGTACAGGAGAACGGTAGACTATTAGGCCAGAACCTCTGTGACATTGTGGCTGCACAAGGAATTACCAATTTGGAACCACAAAAGGTTAGTAATGATTAGAGAAAGTAGAGTTTCAGATCAGAGTATAAAGTTAATATTAATCTAATAAATTAAGTGTGGATAAATAGAAATGTGTTCATCTAGTTCTAGTTACCTATAAAATGTGCTTGCAACTTGCATCTCTTGAGTCCTCCATTTTTAACTTTAATTGACCAGTAAAGTTTAATATTATCATATTAACTTTTGAACCATTGTGTAGAGTTTGCTTTAAAAACCTGTAAGGAGTTAGCCTCACAAACCAAGCATAGAGTCTACCTCACAAACCACAAACTACCATATATATATATATATATATATATATATATATATATATATATATATATATATATATATATATATATATATATATATATATATATTTTCAGTGACATATATGCCTGGAGACCGTTCAGGCTTGTTATATATATATTATATATATATATATTCATATATATATATATATATATATATATATATATATATATATATATATATATATATATATATATATATATATATATATGAACAAGCCTCAACGGTCTCTAGGCATATATGTCACTGAAAACTCACACCCCAGAAGTTACTCGAACCCATACTGCCAGGAGCATGCATCTGGCGTACAGGACTCCTTAACCACTCGACCAACACAGTGTTTTCAGTCACATATAAGCCTTGAGACCGTTCAGGCTTGTTCGCATTTGTGTTCCTCACGTGTGCCCCAAAGAATTAGGTGATTTGATAAAATACCATGCCTAAGATTACCAACCGAGTGCCGGCGGGGGATGGAAATAGCATCGGCTACCATCCTCTTTTGTCCAGTCGTGTTGGTCGAGTGGTTAAGGAGTCCTGTACACCAGATGCATGCTCCTGGCAGTATGGGTTCGAGTCACTTCTGGGGTGTGAGTTTTCAGTGATATATATATATATATATATATATATATATATATATATATATATATATATATATATATATATATATATATATATATATATATATATATATATGTCGTACCTAGTAGCCAGAACTCACTTCTCAGCCTACTAAGCAAGGCCCGATTTGCCTAATAAGCCGAGTTTTCCGGAATTAATATATTTTCTCTAATTTTTTTCTTATGAAATGATAAAGCTACCCATTTCATTACGTATGAGGTCACTTTTTTATTGGAGTTAAAATTAACATAGATATATGACCGAACCTAACCAACCCTACCTAACCTAACCTAACCTATCTTTATAGGTTAGGTTAGGTTAGGTAGCCGAAAAAGTTAGGTTAGGTTAGGTTAGGTAGGTTAGGTAGTCGAAACACAATTAATTCATGAAAACTTGGCATATTAGGCAAAACGGGCCTTGAATAGTAGGCTGAGAAGTGCGTTCTGGCTACTAGGTACGACATATATATATATATATATATATATATATATATATATATATATATATATATATATATATATATATATATATATATATTCTTAATATATATGAATTTTAAATAAAATAAAATTTCAAATAAAAATGAATTTTGGAGAATTGATTTTTCAATTACCATCAACAGTGAAAAGAAAAATATAAGAAATATTGAGAAAATTCGTGTTAGAATTCTTACCTTTTCGGTCATATTTAATAAAATATATATATTAGTGTATTTTGGTAGCAGTCTTTTTTGTAAACATATGTTATTAAATATAACCGAAAAAGTAAGATTAATAATTCTAACGCGAATTTTCTCAATATTTCTTATGTTTCTTTTCACTGTCGATGGTAATTGAAAAATCAATTCTCCAAAATTCATTTTTATTTCTAGGAGTTATTTTATTCTATTTCTAGGATGCGACGCTTGAACGCGTTTCGTAATAACTTATTACATTTTCAAACACTTTAGTTTATACACACACACAACTATAACCTGCAAACACTAAACAGAGTTCTTCTATGCTATAATTTTAAACAGCTTTCATCTTATATACCTGTATTTGGGTGAGGTGATATGTTACAACAGTTTTGGATGAGGTGAACAAAAACTTTCAACACAAGACAGAACACGAAACAATGGGTATATAATGGGTAAATTAAAGGGAAGAATGGAAGTAACTGCAAAGGGCCTATTGGCCCATATTTCTTGATGCTTCTATATTGGAGCGGAGTCTTGAAGTGGGTAGAATATAGTTGTGCATTAATTGGCTGTTGATTGCTGGTGTTGACTTCTTGATGTATAGTGCCTCGCAGATGTCAAGCCGCCTGCTGTCGCTGTATCTATCGATGATTTCTGTGTTGTTTGTTAAGACTTCTCTGGTGATGGCGCCCCACAACCAGACCATCACCAGAGTTTACAATAAACTAGCCGCCTTCGGCGGGAACAAAAAATCAATCACACTCTATTACTGGTATTAATATATAACTTAAACGATGAATTAGACTCTTTTGTTTCACTGTTTACTGATGATGCGAAGTTTAAAGTAGAAAAATCATGATGAGTGAGGGTTAAAGAAGGTTCCAAGAAGAATTAGATACGAGGCAGGAGTTGTCTGAGAAGAGGTTATTGAACTCAGTTAAGTGCAAGAACATGAGGTGAGCCGAAGCTCCGTCCTGCAAACTGTTAGGTAAAAACCCACACACATATCCGTAAGACAATTCTGAAATACGACAATATAATACCCTTAGCATACGAGGCAGTGAGATCCAAAAAAAAGTCTCCAACATGTCTTCTTTTATTACTAATACCTGATACATGTTTTCATGTCTTCAGCTGCACATGGTGTACAATCTGTGCAACTCAGAATGGCAGGAGGAAGGCATAGCTTCTCAAGACTTGTTGTGCTGTGTAGATGGTGTTTACCCTGGGGATTGTTAAGGTCACCTGCTCCTTAACTCCCACTTGTTGACCGCAGCAGCCCCTTGACACCGCCCGCACCTTTCATTTCCTACGGTAACTACCTCAAGCTGCAGTTGTTACTCCAGAGTCAACCCACAACCGTATCCCACATTTCAAATCTTGGTTCATTTATTCACAGATCTGCTGGAAATAGAACTGCGTCTGCTCCCGGTACTGCTGAAAATCTGTAGTATGTGTTCTCGCTCTATGAACACTTAACTGAAATAGCTATTCACTATCATCACTTGAAATAAAGTTTTAATACTTTATTGTCAATGGATACGAACACTCGTCAGTAACTGTTATCATCCCACAATAATAAAACTGGCCATGTTAACATTTTATCTTAATGCACCTTCAGAAAATATGTACTGATGAGTTATGTCTTTATCTGGCAAAATAGCCTTGAAATTGTTCGGTGATTGTAGTTATCTGTTGAGAGGATCAGAGGCTTGGGATTATTGCGTATTCGCTTCTCGTGAGGCGAAACGCTTGCTAAGATCGTGTTGCAATCACTTTCCTCTCTCAGATCTCGAAAATTACCAAGGAACTCGCTGCCTCTCTCGGTGACTAATGTTATCATATTATCCCTGTTATCAAATGACAGGGGATAGACACGTTTTCACTTAATGTGACACATTATGCATTATATGACACAATCAATTAGCTAATGATACACTTGAATCGTTTACACTCAAAACAAAACACACTCGTTTTCCCCAACGCTATACTACACTATAACACACTCAAAATATCTCACCCACCCAAAGTTAGAGCACACTATAAGACATTTAATATCTCTCAGTTACCTAAGGTCCACTACACCACTCCAATATATCTCACTCACTCAAGGTTAAATTACACTATAACTCATAATATTTCTCACTCGTCCAAGGTTAGACTACACTACACAACACTCTATATGGCTGCCCGAAACGCTTTGCGTAATAGTGGCTTTAGGCATTGTATGTACTAGCTCTATCTATTAACCCAACAAACTTTGTAAAATCTCTTTATGTATGTACCTTACCTAAATAAACATTTATTTATTTATTATTTATATCTCTCATCACTCGCCCAAGGTTTGACAACACCACATTTAAGCAAAATGTGTTAAAATACATTTTGCTATAATTATATCATTTTACCCAGACATTTTCCTACATTCAAAATGTGCTGAAAACTATTTAGTTTTAGTAAAAGGAGGGGGGGGGGGAAGCAACATCTTGGAAGCTCATTTAAGGACATCTCAAAAGTATCAAGTAGGCAAAAGTATCAAATCTTGGGCATAGCATTTTATCAAATCACCTCATTCTTTGGGGCACACGTGAGGAACACAAATGCGAATAAGCCTGAATGGTCCCCAGGACTATATGCGACTGAAAACTCACACCCCAGAAGTGACTCGAACCCATACTCCCAGGAGCAACGCAACTGGTAACTACAGGACGCCTTAATCCGCTTGACCATCACGACCGGACAAAAGGAGTCCGGAGTCACTTTTCTGGGGTGTGAGTTTTCAGTCGCATATAGTCCTGGGGACCATTCAGGCTTATTCGCATTTGTGCTCCTCACGTGTGCCCCAAAGAATGAGGTGATTTGATAAAATGCTATGCCCAAGATTACCATCCAAGTGCTGGCGGGGAAGTGGCTCAAATAGCTTCGGCTATCACTTCCTTTTGTTCGGTCGTGATGGTCAAGCGGATTAAGGCGTCCTGTAGTTACCAGTTGCGTTGCTCCTGAGAGTATGGGTTCGAGTCACTTCTGGGGTGTGAGTTATCAGTCATATATATATATATATATATATATATATATATATATATATATATATATATATATATATATATATATATATATATATATAAATGTCGTACCTAGTAGCCAGAACGCACTTGTCAGCCTACTATGCAAGGCCCGATTTGCCTAATAAGCCAAGTTTTCATGAATTAATTGTTTTTCGACTACCTAACCTACCTAATCTAACCTAACCTAACTTTTTCGGCTACCTAACCTAACCTAACCTATAAAGATAGGTTAGGTTAGGTTAGGTAGGTTGGTTAGGTCCGGTCATATATCTACGTTAATTTTAACTCCAATAAAAAAAATCGACCTCATACATAATGAAATGGGTAGCTTTATCATTTCATAAGAAAAAATTAGAGAAAATATATTCCTTCAGGAAAACTTGGCTTATTAGGCAAATCAGGCCTTGCATAGTAGGCTGACAAGTGCGTTCTGGCTATTAGGTACGACATATATATATATATATATATATATATATATATATATATATATATATATATATATATATATATAAGAAGAAATCACAATCACGTGATGTATCAATGAAAAAATTCTTTTTAGGTTTTTAGGCAACAATGTGACTTGACTTGAACCAGCGTTATGGTGATTCACCACGCAGTAATCACCTCGGCTGTAGCCCTATCGTTACCGAGTAGGTTAAAGCAGGCATTTGGGAATTAACATAACGCCGGTTCAGTCGTCACCCAATTATCTTATAATGATTTTATCTAAATATCGTAACTTATCTTAATCTAACCTAGCCTAGCAAACAACAGATATGCACAGAGAATATGGATATCTATTAATCGCATGTACTCTGTGTATAACCCAACTGAAATGTTAGCTCTGATGCAGGTTTGAAGCGATGTGCATAGCTAGGGACTTTGCTCAAATAAAATGTACTATTCAATAAATTTGTTATATTCTGCGTTTTTGGTTATTTATTGTAATATCCTACACTTGAAACTGTGTATGGAGTCAGCCTCCACCACAATACTTCCTAATGTATTCCATTTGTCGACTACTCTGACACTAAAAATGTTCTTTCTAATATCTCTGTGGCTCATTTGGGCACTCAGTTTTCACATGTGTCCGCTAGTGTGTGTGCCCCTTGTGTTAAATAGCCTTTCTTTATCTACCCTATCAATTCCCTTCAGAATCTTGAATGTGGTGATCATGTCCCCCCTAACTCTTTTGTCTTCCAGCGAAGTGAGGTTTAATTCCTGTAGTCTCTCCTCGTAGCTCATACCTCTCAGCTCGGGTACTAGTCTGGTGACAAACCTCTCATTTCAGTTTAGTCTTATTCTTGACTAGATATGGACTCCATGCTGGGGCTGCATACTCCAGGATTGGCCTGACATATGTGGAATACAAACATAAGAACAAAGGTAACTGCAGAAGGCCTATTGGCCCATACGAGGCAGCTCCTATCTATAACCACCCAATCCCACTCATACATGTCCAACCTACGCTTGAAACAATCAAGGGACCCCACTTCCACCACGTTACGCGGTAATTGGTTCCACAAATCAACAAATCAACAACCCTGTTACCGAACCAGCATTTACCCAAGTCTTTCCTAAATATAAACTTATCCAACTTATACTCATTGTTCCGTGTTCTGTCCTGTGTTGATACTTTCAATACCCCACCAATATCCCCTTTGCCATGTCCAGCAATCCACTTGTAAACCTCTAACATGTCACCCCCAGCTCCCCGCCCCTCCAAAGTTCAGAACTAAACAAAGTTCTGAACTGATTCCTTACACAAGTTTCTGAATGCCGTTCTTATGTTGGCCAGCCTGGCATATGCCGCTGATGTTATCCTCTTGATATGGGCTGCAGGAGACAGGTCTGGCGTAATGTCAACCCCCAAGTCTTTTTCTCTCTCTGAATCTTGAAGAATTTCATCTCCCAGATGATATCTGGCCTCCTGTTCCCTACACCTATCTTCATTACATTGCATTTGCTTGGGTTAAACTCTAACAACCATTTGTTCGACCATTCCTTCAGCTTGTCTAGGTCTTCTTGAAGCCTCAAGCAGTCCTCCTCTGTCTTAATCCTTGCATCGTCAGCAAACATTGAGAGAAATGAATCTATACCCTCCGGCAGATCATTTACATATATCAGAAACAAGATAGGACCGAGTACAGAGCCCTGTGGGACTCCACTGGTGACTTCACGCCAATCTGAGGTCTCACCCCTCACCGTAACTCTCTGCTTCCTATTGCTTAGATACTCCCTTATCCACTGGAGCACCTTACCAGCTACACCTGCCTGTCTCTCCAGCTGTGATAGGATTTGCAGGAGGAGGGCAAGCGAGGCGAGGGGGGAGAGAGAGAGACAGAGAGAGAGAGAGAGAGAGAGAGAGAGAGAGAGAGAGAGAGAGAGAGAGAGAGAGAGAGAGAGAGAGAGAGAGAGAGAGAGAGAGAGAGAGAGAGAGAGAGAGAGAGAGAGAGAGAGAGAGAGAGAGAGAGAGAGAGAGAGAGAGAGAGAGAGAGAGAGAGAGAGAGAGAGAGAGAGAGAGAGAGGAGAGAGAGAGAGAGAGAGAGAGAGAGAGAGAGAGAGAGAGAGAGAGAGAGAGAGAGAGAGAGAGAGAGAGAGAGAGAGAGAGGAGAAGAGAGAGAGAGAGAGAGAGAGAGACAGAGAGAGAGAGAGAGAGAGTGGGTGAGAGAGAGAGGGGTGAGAGAGAGAGAGTGAAGGCTGAGAGAGTTTTGTTGAGAGTGATGGGTGAGAGAGGGGATTGGAAGGGGGAAGTGAGAGTTGAGTGGAAAATAGTGGGTGGAAAGGAAGGGCTTGTGCTTAAGATGAGGGGGGGGAGTTTTGGATAGTGCTAGGGTCTGGAATGCTGGGGGGTGAGCTAGACAGATAGGGAGATAGAAAGAGACGTAGGGAGGAAGGTGGTTCAGAGGGGGAGAGGTGGTGGGGGATGTGTGTGTGTGTGTACTTACCTAGTTGCGTATCGTGTCACGAATCCACAGTAATCCTCGTGGACTAGAAATGTCTTCAATAATCAATGAGCAACCTGGCCTTATAAATTTCAGTGTAAATAAGTCTAGGGTGAAGTGAAAGTCTTAGTAAAATCCAACAGTTTACTGGGGCGAACTTATCTGCATTACATCGCTTCTTATATATACAAATCTCTCTATTCATACTCACAATCAAATAACAATCAAGTGATTCAACAAAAAGCACAAGTCATAGCAGCTAGATGTCACTAGGCTACAAACCTAACAACATTGGTACACTCGTCAACTTAAGACTGGCTGAAAGATTGTGAACATGGAGGGTAGTGACTTTACATAACCAGAGTGTGGCATAAATCTAAGCAAGGACATCAATATCACAAGTCAATGAACTCTCACTTGCCTTCAAGAAAACTAAGTCCCAACTGGACTGACAAATGGCAAAGTCTAAACTCTTCCCTAAATTGAGTCCACAATGCCTGGAAATGTGACAAAGTCAATAACTCTGGAAGTCAGAGTCCACAATAACCTTACTAATGGGAAGTCAATTATTCGTCTTCAAACGTTAG